TGTCGATGAAGAAGTAATCCCAAAGTTCAAGATCTACATTAGCAACTTGTCAATCTTGGATTCTCGCGAGTCTGAGTCTATTCCTCTTACACACAAAGCTCACCTGTGAGTACTACTTCTCTTGCTCTCATGAGGCTAAAATTGACCCTGGAAAGAAATCGCAGTCCTACCGAGGTTGTAGAGCTACAATATTTTGTTCCGAAATTTGCCCGACAAATCAAAGCCAGAACGTCAGTAAGGAGGACTAAAGTAGCAGTCCTAGACACTGGGGTCTCTTGGGCTCACTTCACTGGTCAAAACCACAAGATTAGTGGCAAGTCCTTCGAAATCTCAATATCACGGGAGAAAGACGCAGAAAGTCCCTGGTGGCTCGCCACGGACCATCATGGGTCGCACATGGCAGGTATAATTTCTCAGATGGACCCAACGTGCGAGCTTTACATCTGCAAAATAGCAGATGATGAGGACTCGATCGATGTCCAAAAAGTAATTCAGGTATGCGTTCCCCCTTGTTCCATCCCCTCTCTCTCAGGCCTTCACAATCTTGCGTCTGTGCATAAGAGCCCAACATCCTTCCCATTTGTCTCGCATTGGTCTAATCTGACCTGTTACTCAAGGCGATGAAGTGGGCTCTCGAGCAGAAAGTCGACATAATCAATTGCAGCTTCGTTTTGTTTGGCACAATAAAAGACTTGCGGACAGTTTTTGATAGAGCCCGCAAGGATGGAGTTGCTGTTTTCTGCAGCACTGCTGACAACGGGTGCATCCGTCAAAAGGTTTGGCCAGCGATGTATGCCCACAATCCCGAAAGTATGGCAAATGTGTTTCCGGTGGCCTCATGCAATGACTTCGGAAGGCTTAGCGAGTACGGGAGCGATCGACTTGCAAGATATCTGGTTCCTGGAGAACATGTTAATACATGTTTGTCGGGCAGAAACGATACTGGCATGGTATCAGGAAGCTCAGCGGCTACAGCAATAGCATCAGGCCTGGCCTCCATCGTATTTGGTTGCTATAGCATCCATAGTACCTCTAGGCATGGAGGCTTACTCCAGAGACAAGCAGCACAAGTAGTTCGACAATTTTTCGACAAGATGTGCGCAGATGATACGGCAAGGCCCGCCGAGGGTCCCAAAAGAATTGTGCCGGGGCTAGTCTTCCCTAGAAAGGAGGAGACGAGTATGCTTTCCGCAGCTAGTACTGACTTCGATCTCGGGGGAAGAGATCAGTTTGATACGTGGCTTAAAAAGCAATTTATTCCACGTAAGCCATATACTGCAGACGCCATTTAATTTTCAAAACTCAAACACTAATAAGTCAGCAGATCTCCTGGCTACGGTGACTGACTCTATCACCTGATTAACCAGATTGAACCAGGGGATTGTGTGGAATTGTCACGGCTTATCGTAGAAACGCTTAGAAGTCTCAGTACTACATGCCTAATTTTGTTCTGATCTCACTTTAGTTGAAATTTATGAAGTCGTGGATGTCTTTATAGTGTTATAATTTCTTGCATGTCTTAAGTAGTATTAACCGCAACAGCGACAGCTAGTAAACCTACCTTGAACTTTCAACAACGACGTCTTCTGTGGCACAAGGAGTGTCCATTTACTAGCGGATAATGCAGGCATAAGGGGTGTAAACTTTTGCGCTTGACAGGCTTCCTCTTCTACCAGTGGAGGCTGAACCTCGTCGTCACTGGCAATGCGTCGTATTTGGAACTCGTAGATTATATGATAAAGATTTCATGGTAATCGCTTTTCTCTGCTATCCAGTGTATTTCCAGGAAGTATGCTCCGGCATCTAAATAGGTGCATTTAATACCCAGCTTGTGTCCAATTAAGGTAGAGTGGTTACCAAATGATACTTGACTTCATCTCTCAAATAAGTCAGAGCTGGTGGCCTGGGAAAGCGATGGTTTGAGGGGACAGGCATCAAGGAAAAGAATCCATTTGAAGTATGGAATCAACACTTTAAAGATGCCAAGATTTCCTGGAATCACTGAGCATTTACCTCCACCGTGCAGAAGCTCGATTTTGTACATCTTCTGAGCCCCCTAAAACTTTCGAGCGCAATATGTGGGTACGAATCTCGGACCAAGGGTTCGCCGCGGGGGTTTAGTTGAGTTTACTTCTTCGTCATCCGCCCATCGTGATTTGCCTTTCGGCCCTGCAGGCTGCGTTCATCTATACTCTCTTGCAAACTTTACCACCAAGGTTGACCCCCCATTCCAGCAACCCTACGGATGTGGAGCATTGATCTCAAGGGTCAAGGGTTCGTCTGGAGGTGAAAGCAATATTTCTCAACTCGAGCGATACAGTTTTGGAGTTTGTCGATCGACGGGTTGAGTTGCTTTTGAGTTTCTCTCCGGCCAACGACCATGGAGGCTGTATGAGCTGTCTTCAGCTGAGCCAATACAGGCAGGTTTGAGAAAACTGCATGGCCATTGAAATCTCCTGCAACATTTGCGTCTCCAGGTCATCAAGAAGAAAAATATATCAGAAAGGTCCTGGGAGCACAGCTGGCTTATGTATGCAATTCTACTCCGGCAGGAACCACATTCATCGCTGATTACTTTAAGCAATGTATCGAGGCATGGTTCTCCACTAGCAAAGTTATGAACTGGGTTGTCTCCAATCAATAGGCATCTGGATATAAGCTTATTCGATGAGGAGCGAATCGTATTCAAACTGGGCGTCTTTAGGTCAAAGCAAATGCCCCGTCACCCACTGTCCTAATCCCGAAAATCCCCCTCCACACTGTGATGCATCAGTCCGAACCGGGACCTCAATTCATGTTATCGATCTGCCGGCTACCCTAGAACACCGCTCGCCCCTTCAGAAAGAGTAATATGACTTCAAATCAAAGCGCCGTAGGGTGATATTGATTCCGTGGCACCGGTGGGTGAGTCTGATCTGACGAGACATGCTCCAGGTATCCATTCTGGGAAACAATCGGCTTAGAGAAAGATCAAGACAACGAGGCCATCAGCAGAACCTTCATGGTCAGGCATGGCGATGGTAGGATAATGCGGCCCAGAGACTTGCGTTCAGGGGCCAATAAAGTGGGCACAGAGGTCCGGATCCCCAAGAGTCCGGAGTTTTGAGACTACAAGCTACTATTGGTGTCTGGCATAATGGCACTTTTCAGACCGAGAAGGTTCTCGTGGAATCGGATGCGACGAGCCCACGGTCCAAGCCAAGCAGCCTCGGTGATTCGCCATTCTTGGCCCAGGCTCGTGAAGTGGCCAAGCTGGCGGCACAGCGCGCCGCCAAATCCTGTTTGAGAACATCAGACATCGAACACGGGGGGCGGGACATCAATTGAGAGGTGCCAGCTGTCTCGCACATGCCCATCCGCTCCGGAGACCTGGTGGTCCTCGATTACTTGGCCCCTGGCATCCACAAATCCTGTGCCATCCGACGAACTTGTCCGCGGGCGAGGACCAGTTGATGCCACCACCACGATAATGACAGATTCTGTCACTCATATCGATGACGGGAGAAACCATCCTCAGCCACCCCCGTCCCAGAAACAAGTTTGCAGCTTCAGAGTCCTAGCCAGGCGCATAGCCGCGCCTGGCACGGACCTCTGCAGAGGAAACATGTGGCGAAGTGACATCTGGCAGACATTTGTCAACTGTATCACTGTCTCAGATGAGCACAGGTTGCTCAGTCGAGTCCGAATGCGCGGCCTTTGATTGCTTAGTACTGGCTGAGATTGTTGCCCCAGTCATTTTGCCAGTGGGTGATAGGACGTCGTGGAGGCTCTCATGCCTCTGCGGCAGCAAGAGGTGAACGCACGATGACATTGACTCCCGCACTAGCGGCTGCCAGACAGGTAGACGGACCGGTCTTTGTAGGATGTCTGTCTGGCGCTACTCCACCTACCTAGTAGGTACTAGAGGCAGTTGACTCATATACCGCTAACATGTCGCTAACATGTCATGTGCAGGCGGAACACCCCGAGGTGCTGCTGGGTGCTAGCGTTCCCGCACCAGTTTCCTGAAGATCTGCAGGAGTAAAGTCTACACAGTCTGCGCCACGAACTAGTCTACCAGATATGTGAACCATTCAGTAAGCTTATTACGTTAGTAAGTAGAAGGTATGCGGGCCGAGGGGCGCGACAACTGGCAGTACGTTCGCCAAGACCGCAAGCCAGATATTCAAGCCCGTATTTTCAATGTTGCCTCGGAGCCATAGTATTTGTCGAGAAGAGAACATTTGACGGGAGCTCTTGAGAGAACGAAATTGATAATATGTGCCATCTGAAATGCGTCGGAAGGTATCGCAGCTTGCCGCGATCGCGGCGTGGTCTAGGCGGCGTGAACGCATTTACCAAGGAGAATAAATAGCACGGCTGCCGGATGATGAAAATAGAAGAGATCACCCTTTCGGGTTCAGGGTTGCCATGCAGGCTCAACGTGAAATCCATCACCTTTGCCCGGGTCGAGTGACCGACGATTCTAGCTGAGTCCGTGAATCATATTTCGTTTCGTCTGACCGCAAAAGCCGTGATCTTTTGGTCGACGGCCAAACCACGCTGCATGGCGTGCCGTCTGCGCGCGTTTCAAGGGTTCCTCCTCGGCTGTGACTATGCCCAGCCGGATATAACTCCCGCGGCGTGAATTGCAACAGCTTAACCAAGTACTGGCATTTGCTTATGATGACAACCGTGAGAGGAGTTGGTTTTGCGCACCACATGTCTGGGTACCGGGGATACAGGGTGTCGAGTCGTGCGGTGTTCGATGCCTCTTGGACTTGGCTTGCACTGGCTCGGATGAAGTCTCGGTGGCTGGAAGACGGAGGGCGAGTTGACTTCTTGTCGATGTCTCGAAGCTGGTATATTAAGACCGTGGCTTTCCTGGTGTAAGTCTCGCTTCCTTCCATCTCATCAGCATCCAGACTTCTCAGCTTCCAACAGTCTTCCAACAACTTTCCAAAACCTTCTACCCTTCGCTTTATACAAATCAAGCCTTCGCTTACCCAACAACAATCGCAATGCATTTCACGAACGTCTTCGTTCAGGCCCTGCTTGCCGGCTCTGCCATTGCCGCTCCTGCTTCCCTCCTCAGCAAGCGCCAACTTCAGACCATTCAGGGTGCCTTGACAAGTGTCCAGGATTCACTTGGCCAGCTCGATACAGCTGTCAAGGTGTGTAGAGAAACACTGAACGTCTTTGGTTGACAAAAGCTAACCCGCTCTTTTATAGGCTCTCAACGCCGCTGATCCTAATACCGCTGCCAGCCTGCTTGACGCTTCCAACAAGGTCCAGACCTCGATCAAGCAAGGTACCACGCAAATTCAGGGTGCCCAGGAGCTGTCCCTCACAGATGCCCTCACCCTGCAGCAGTCCGCTGGTACCCTGACCACCGCTGTCCAGACCTCTGTTGACGACTTGGTCTCCAAGAAGCCTGAGCTTGACAAGCTTGGTGCCACTTCCGTCGCCGTCGACCAGCTCAAGCAGCAGAAGGCGACCGTCGGCGACTTCAGCACCGCCCTCGTTTCGAAGGTTCCCGCCATTGGTCAGGGTATCGCTCAACAGTCCGTTGACCAAGTTACCCAGTCCCTGGATGGTGGTATCCAGAAGCTTGGTGGAGATGCCGCTGGCGGTGCTGCTCCTGCTGCGCCTGCTGCTCCCGCTGCTCCCGCTGCCCCGGCTGCACCCCCGGCCGCTCCCGCCGCTCCCGCCGCTCCCGCCGCCCCTGCTGGCGCTCAGGAGCAGTTCCACGCTGAGGTCATTGCTTAAGTGGCGCGATATTTATAGGAGGAGGATGAGATGTGGTACAAAAACCATTCCTGGCGCTCTGACGATTAAATGAAGATTATTAGCGAGTCTCCTTTTGTAAAGCATATTGATAGTCAGTGACAGAATGGTCAGCTGAGCTGCCGGAGCAGCTGCGCTGCGAGTCCGTTCCGTTCAATTGAACTTGATTTTCCAGACAGAATGTGCCTTCTTGAAAGGTCACTGAGGTCGAATTTTGATCCAGGGTCAATAGCAGGTTCCGCAAATAGTTGGTCGATGTATTTTGCGGATTGTTCTGGTCCAGGACACAAGACCCCTAAGGTAATTTATTGCAGTGGCGGTCACTCACACGCGCCCCAGTCTCTCAACATTAGAATGTATTGGCATGAGCCCTTTGAATCACTGACCGAACCCTTCTGTCCTCGAGAATCTCGAACATGGGCCATATCAAAGGGAGCCTCTACCAACAACGCGATGGGCGTTGTCAGCGGGAGGATACGCTTCACCGGTGCCACGGTTCTGATCGTGACCAAGATATCCCTAACACTGCTTGCTTGACAAGGTGGAAAGCTTTCGTCGAGTTGCGCGGCGACATTCAATCCATCCCGAGTGTTCCAATTCGGTAATACTCTACATGCTCGAGACCAGTCTTGCAAGGCACCTTTGTTGTCCAATACCGCTATCAGATAGATATCGATGTATCTGCCATTTAATCGTCCGGAACCCTTTCCCTAGAAGACGAGCAGTCCGTGGAACTTTTCCATCGGAGCTGTCTTGGTCAAGAATGGCCATCATACTCGTGTTCTTCCAGCGCTTCAGTGCGCAATGACAATACCCGGAAAGGCCGCGCGGGAATGTGACGGAGCAAAAAACCTTTGCAACCCTTCCGCCTATCCGCTTGAGAGGTCCTAAAACTGACCTTGACAAAACTTCTCGATCAGCCTCGGATGGCATAGGGATCATGATCCTCGTTGATTCTTGAGGTATGAAAATCCGAGGAAATTGTCGGGACGAGCGGCGTTTTCTGCATGGCAGGGAAGAATGCTTTTATCGCAGCCGAACTCAGCGATATTCACAGGGCTGGAAGGGATACTCGAGTGCACTGATGTCAGTCATCGCTGATGTGAGATGACAAAGGCAGGCATAAGTAGCTACTGATATGCTCGCCGACTGTGTTGCAGTTCAATTCAAAACGCCCAGTACGAATCTGGGTGACAAGGTCTGGATCGGTGGCAAAAAAATGGAAAGGCCGGCGTTGGTCATTCAGTAGAATGGCGGAATTGTTGCCATTGGAGTTGCAAGACGAGACCAGCAACCGACATACTTTGAACCAGCGAAGAGTTCAGGCGAAGTAGCCACGAGTGCCGTCATGACCTGGGTCTACATGTGACAGACGAAGACGTTCTGGTCATCGGAGGTCCTGATTTTCTCCTCTAGCAGCCATAAGCTCTTGTTCCTGTAAAGTCCAACAACGAATAAACTATTTACTGCTCAGGGAGTGACTGCCCAGATCGTGATGATGTGAATCGCTGCTTGGGGCGGCAACGTCGGCCATGTTTACGTAGCAATCCCCCGCTTTTTGTTGCTCAGCCGATTCGGCGGAGCTGCGCTTCTCGATGCAATTGGTGTCGATGCAAGCATGGATGTATCCGTAATGTAATGCCTGGCGGCAGAATACTTCCCCGGCCTCTCAGGTGTGGGGAAGGATGGCGTATGGGTGGATGCGAGCATAGCCAACGAACTCCTTTAGTTCCAGCGTCTCCGTGTTGATTACTTAGTGTAGACGCATGACAGGATAGATGGGGCCGTTGGGAAGAGCAACTCAGCCCCAAAGATGCAGCATCGTGAGCTCGGAAAGGTAGCGCAGGAGTTGGGCCCGCGGTTGAGGTGAGGGGTCTCACATGTGTCCAGGGAGTTGGGAGACCCCAGCTACTGTCCCCTGCGCCAGCAGTTTTCATGAGTCTGCAGCAGATGACTCAGCGGAAATATTCCGGGTGGCACGGGCACATGGGCAAGTTCCATTTAGGAAGCTCGGCCAGAGTCTCTCTTATCTTATCTGTGTAAGTGTGTCCTCGTGATAAGAGTACCTACCTAGGTAAGGTAGTTAATACCTCAATACGGATACAACCATCTCTCACAAAACGATTGCAACCTCGTGTAGCCGTACTTTCCTTCATGGACCGACTTCATCTTCATTAACAAATATTTGCGAATTCATGACGGAAGCATCCTCCGACGCCCCTCTTCTCGTGTTGCCGGCCACCACCGCAGTTACTCTGAGGATGCTTCTCCAAGAGCCGGTGCAACCGACCGCGTCGTGGCTGAGGAGGCACTCACATACTCAACGTGGGCCAGCATCGAAGCTTTTCGGGTTTGCCATCATCCCTGGCGAAGCCTCTGCACCTGGCCCCCCAATGTTACCCTCCCTATCCCGCATCCCACAAATCATGATCCTAGCCATCCATTTGCTTTTGTTAGTCTTGGGTCCTCGGCAATCTGTCTAGTGCGATCAGTACCACTAAACAATGGAAGCCCCGGAAAGCCATGATCGTCTCCTCTCTCGCTCTCGGGCCTCGGCGGTGTGACGCCTTGCTATCTCATTTGACTTACTGCTCAACTACCCTCCGCTGGTGAAAAAAACTGTGCAACGATCTCTTTGATAGTCCTCCTCTTTCACAAGACCTTTAAATAAAGGCATTGCCTCCTCCTCTTTTTTCGCAGCAATCAACCAGGGAACGCATTGGCTTCTTCAATTAACTAACCATGGAAGAGAAAGAAGCTATCGGGGCCGACGGTCCCCTCGATCCGGTACATCCGCACCCGAGTAACATCGACACTGAACAACTCGAACCCCCTCGACACGACCCTACAGCATTTGGTCGTCACAGCTTACAGATAATCAGACGGCCAGCCCCCGCTGCCAAGCCGCATGCTGACGGCCAACGACAAGACGGGAGCACTCCCGGCGGGAGAGATGAAGATTCGTTTGATGAGAAGATATTGCAACGTCTGCCACGCAGTATCGACACATTCCGTCGCCCGGCATCAGCACCACAAGATCAACATTCGTCCCTACGGTCCCCCAGAAAATACACCACCCGACCAAGCCATGACTTTGACCGTCGCTACGACGGCCCCTTTGGCCGGCCGAGTCTCGCCATGACCCGGCGAAGTTCTCGATCGCCCACACGGCCTTCGAGGGACGCGGGCACACCCCACACACCCGGCGAGGCCACCGGAGTAGACGGTGTGGACGGCACATCTGGACGACCGGCCTTCCAAGCCACTCCCCCACCATTAAACTACAGCCTCCGCACCCGCAAGATGGCCATCTTTCTCTTCTGGACCCTCCTTCTAGTCGACTCCACCGCCATGCCGATAGGACTGTACTATGGTCTCTGGTACGGCGTGGGCCCCGGCACAAACACCCCGACGGAAAAGAAGCAGAAGTTGACCCCGAACGCCGTCTTCTCCATCGTGACCGCCACCGTGGGCGGCTCCAGCATCATCGAGTATTTTTTGCGGCTCTGGCGGCTTTGGCGCAAGGGGAGCAAGTGCCGCGTGATTGGCGCGCACCGATGGTACTTCGACTGGTTTCACTGGAACTTTACCCTGGGATGGGTCGTCATCATGGTCGAGCTTATCGTGTAAGTGTACCTCATATTAATAACTCCTGTTTGCATATATCCACGGAGATACCCCTTTGCTGATGCGTTGAAACAAGGGGCACCATCCCAAAAAACCCTCCAATCCGCCTTCTTTCCATGCCCGTGACAACAATGCTCTTCGTCTTCGGCACCGAGCTCCTCCTCGTCGACATCTGCCGCGCCTTCCACGTCCCAGCCCCCTGCCGCATCTCCTCCATTCCAAAAGGCGCCCAGCTCCGTCCCGGGATTTACTCTTTAATCGAGGACGTCTGTGCCGTCGACGGTTCAGGCGGGACCGATTTCCGCATCGCGCTCGACAGGCGCTACGAGGCGAGCCATGTCTTCCGCGCGATGCTGAGACGGTTGGGCCTCTTTTGGGCCATCGGCGCCGAGGCGTGCGCGGTGCTATGTACGACCTTGATATTTACATTGAGCGACGGCGAGGTCGCGTATGTAATTGGATGGTCGTTGCCCTTCGTATGGGTGGGCATATGGACGCTTGCGACGTTTTGGTATGTAAATTCTGAGTTGAAGAGAGAGGCAAGGGCTTGGTCTGAAGAGGTTGCCATGGGAGTTACATGGGCCATGTCAATGGTCTCAGTCTGATGGGCTTGATTTGATATAAATAAACCAGGATGAAAGATACAATGAGACACAACAAAAGAAAATCAAGCAAGGCCCGCGAAATATTGATGCTTGGAGATTGATCTTGATTTTACTTCGTCCATGTCTATGCTTCCAACGGGACTCTCCCGCCAACCAAACGCCTCGTCACGGCGAGTCCTTAAGACGCCGTTTTCCCCAAAGTTCATACATGCAAGGTCTATTCCTCGAGACCTGTCTGAATTGTCCCCGCGCAAAACCCTTGTGATAAATACAGAGAAAGAAAAACTTCGTCCAATGAAGGTACAATGGCGCAGGCTGTCGTCTCCACGCCTACCGCTTCCGTGTGTCGCGACCCTTCTTTTTACTCTTCTTCTTATCCTTGGGCAAGTCTAGCATCGTGCCCTTGAGCTGCTCCGCCATTGTCCGGAGCATGTAATCATCCACATTATATATCCGCTCGCCCCACGCGTTGTGCTCAGTCACTGCCGCTTCGTCTGGGGCGACAGATTCCGAGAATCGGCCAAGGCGCGAGGGTCCGGGGCCGCCACCTGGCTGGCCGGCGACGTCCTCCCGCGGCGTGCCTTGGCGGGTGCTAGAGGCGCCCGAAGGCGCACCGCTCTTTTCGTTGAACTCGGCATCGTCGTCTTGGATTTCCTTCTCGGCCGCCTTGGCGGCCTCCACGTCTTCCTGGTCTTCGGCCTGCTTAAGGTCCTCGGCCACAGTTCTCGACGGTCCGCTGTCGCCCCCGCCCAGGAGACGATCCATGGCGGCGTTGGCGGCATCATCGACCAGGTCAGTCCCCTCAGTGCCGAGGACATCGCGCACAGAAAGCTTGTTGAAGTAGTCTGTGGTGAAGCTACCCTCCTGGATGACCACGTCATCCAGCATCTGCTTTTGTGACGCTTTGCGAAGAATATTGGCTTCAATCGTGTGCTCGCTGACGAGACGGTAGATGTGTACGTCCCGTGTCTGGCCGATACGATGGCATCGATCCTGGCATTGCTTGTCCATGGCTGGGTTCCAGTCTTGATCATAGAAGATGACGGTATCGGCACCAGTCAGGTTGATGCCCAACCCACCGGAACGTGTGGATAAAATAAAGCATAAGATACGTGGGTCATGGTTGAACCGGTCCGTCAGAATCTGTCGCTGCTCGATCTTTGTCGCTCCGTCAAGCCGAAGGTACTTGTGACCGTGAATATTGAGGAACTGCTCGAGAATATCCAGTACCTTGGTCATCTGTGTAAAGATCAGGGCACGATGGCCACCGGCTTGGAGCTTGCGGAGAAGCTTGTCCAAGGCTTGGAGCTTTCCACAGTCGTATTGCAGCAGTCGCTTGTCCGGAAACTGGATACTGTGACGCATACGAGATTCGTGCCACGGATCGATGGGCGCTTGCTTGGGCATGAAGGGAGCCCACCGGACGGGAGCTGAGAGTTTGAGGTCCTCGTCCGTGAAGGCCTGTGCTGCCTTTCTTCCCAATATCACCTCGTTCATGTCGCGAGTAATGACGGCGGGTGTAACACATGTAAACTTCTGGATGATTGTCTGCATGGAATCAGCTCGGTCATCCGCTGTATGGATGACGGCATGGAGGAAGTCGGAATCTTCCGCAAACCAATTCAAGATCTGAGAAGGCACTCTTGGCTTGGGTTTTCGTGGTCTCCCGTCTAGTCCAAGTGTCAAAAAATCAATGAGACGCTTGCCATAGATGGGTCGGCGTTGGCCGCGGAGAGCATTCAGGTAGACGCTGTGCTGCAATTCCTCGAAACGGCGCCATCGAGCCAGGCTGTCCAGATACATAACATTCGACTCGACTGTTGAGGGGTCGAGATTTGTGCGAGCGAGATGAGCTCTGGTGTTTTGTGCCTCTCTGAGTTCCATCAATACTCTATGAAGGCTGAGCTGCGAAATACGCTCCGCAGTGGTGTTGGACATATTCTCGTGTTGTGTAGGCATCATGTTGAGAACCCCCAGGCTGACAATAGACATTGGCTCTACTGCAAGCAAAGATCGGTGTAGGAATTGATCGGTAACTTGAAATTCAGCGGGGACGGATTTCTGCATCCTGAAGGACGTCATGATGGGGCGGTCCACAAACAGGTCAGGATGGTTGCACACTTTCCGCAGCTGCATCAGGCAGTTGATGATGGAAAGGTAGTTGCCAGAAGACAGCGTCTCCCGAGTGTCAGTACGAGCCAAGAAGCCATCATACAATTCGCGCTGGCGTTTTGAAAGGCGACAAAACTCGACGTGCTCGTACTTGGCTGGCATTTGTTTTTCGACGTCTGCCTTGAGTCTTCTCAGTAGGTACGGCCGCAAAACCTTGTGCAGCTTGGAAATAATCGCTCGCGCCTCCTCGTCCATCGTCTCACGGCCGTTTTCCAGAATTTGAGACTCTGGCTTGTGAAACCAATCGTGGAACTCTTGTAAGTCTGCGAATCCCCCCACGCCATTTTCGGCTGGCATCAGGAAGAAAAGCAGCGACCACAGCTCGGTAAGATTGTTCTGAAGTGGGGTGCCTGTGAGTAGAAGCCTTGCCCGAGTATTGAAACCGAGCAGCGTCTGCCACCGCTGGGATTTGAAGTTCTTAATGTTATGAGCTTCGTCGAGGATCATGTAGTGCCATCTCCGGCGCTTGAAAACCTGCTGGTCCTGGATGACAAGCTGATAAGACGTGATGCAGACGTTCCATACGTCGTCGTTGTTCCATCCCTGTCGCTTGCGTTTTCTCTCCTCTTGTGTGCCGTAGTAGGAGAGAATCTTGAAGCCAGGGCACCATTTCTTGAACTCCATTTCCCAGTTGAGCATAACACTTGTTGGTACGATAACCAGATGTGGGCCCCAAACTTCATGGTGACAGGCGAGGTGAGCAAGTAAGGAAATGGTCTGGATGGTTTTGCCAAGACCCATCTCATCGGCGAGAATGCCGTTGGTGTTGTTCGCATACAGTCCTGCAAGCCAGTCCAACCCGTGGTGCTGATATTCACGCAGAGTGCCACGAAGCAAAAACGGGATCTCGGTCTGTTGAGGATGTGGGTTTGGTGAGGCTGACCTACTGACGACATCCTTTGCTCCTGGGGTCGCCAAAGACATTGTATCAACATCTGAAGGCTTTGTGTCGGATGTAGGGGGCGAGTGGCTTTGTTCTGGACTGGGGGGAACAGTAATGATGTCGGTATCAGGGGTGACATGATTTGTTGGAGTGGGGGCGGTAATAGAAGTTGTGGCTGGTCCTGGTGCGTCTGTTGATTTTGATAGTGCATCCGACATCTCAATGTCAGGAGAATTCAACGTCTCAAGTGTCCTGTTGGTGTTGCTAGGAGCCTCCACACTCTCTGCTGTAGATCGACTGTCCACGCCATTGACCAAGGCCTGATCTGATTTGGACGACTGTGAGGGGACAACGGGCTGATCTGTGGACTCTGTGATTTCGATACCATCATCCTGGTCACCAACACTTTGTTTAGTGACTTGTGGCCCAGTTGTTTGTACTTCTGTGTCAACCTCCATCTCATCGTCGTCCAAGAAAACCCCAGGATGCTGGATCAGAGACACTTCATCGTCATCTTCATCTTCCGCCATCTCTTCTCTGAAATTTGATGACGCCTCAGCTTGCGGAGATGGGGCATTGGTCGTCGAAACTGCGGTGCTTTCACTCGAAACCGTATCGCCGGGTGGCGCCTCATCCTTGATTTGCTTCAGCTCGGATTTCCCAAAGAGCATCCCCAACAATCCAGAGGGTTCCTCGTCGCCGTCTTCCTCTTCCGACTCTTCATCCGCAGGAGAGCTATCATCGCTGTCATCCATGTCAGTGGATCCCATGTCATCGTCCATGTCGACGGACTCATCGCTGGTGTCTTCTTCTGGGTTTGGTGTGAGAAGTTTTGAGTCTGCCTCGGACTCCACGCCATTGATGAGGTTGTTTTCAGCTTGCTCGTCGGGAGGTAGTTCGGGCAGGTTTGCGTATTTGGCTCGAAGCTGTTCCATAGTGAGCTTCTCGTCTCCAGCGTCGGCAGTGTGATCCTCGCCCGCTTCCTCTTCCTCTGAAGATGACATGACGTCGTCGTCGTCATTGCCGGAGTCATCGTCGTCCGCGTCTACCGACAATGCCTGGCTGTTCTCCAGGTCGCTATCAAGGTCGTCAATGTCATTGTCATTGTCTTCGTCTTCGAGATCGTCCTCATCGGACAAGTCCGAGTCCGCCTGTGTTCTTCTTGCTTGCAGCTTTTGCTCTGACAAATTGACTGCCTCCTGAAGCGCAGCTTTGACTCGACGCTGTTCCTCAGCTTCCCATTCTTGGATCCTTTGCCGATTGATCTCGTACCGAACGTTTTCCCAAGTACCAAACAGGCTTTTGACAACCACTCGGTATCGCCCAATCCACAAATACCGCGCCTCGACTTCAAGTTCTTCTGCTGACTTTGGTTGGCGCCGGAGCCAAGCATCCTTACAAGCTTCGGCAATTTTCTTGGCTTGCGCTCGATGTCTTTGCTGCTCTGCAATCATCAGCTTGCGGAAGTTGGTGACAGCCTTGGCCATATGGTCTGCATGAGCCCATTGGCGTGGTGGCTCCTCTTCCGCCTCGGGTACAAACAGGGAGCAGCGCCCTTGTGAAAGGATACCGCCGGGCTCGACAGCCTCTTCAATGCGTAGGACGATCTGAGCTTCCTTCTGGGCCATTTCATTAGTGTAGCTAGGTCCGTCCTCTGGAACGAAAATACCACCCTCCTCAACGGGTATCGTCTGCGCCTTCTCCCAATATTCTTCAAAGTTGGGCCCGATTCTTAGCCTCTTGCTTACTTGTCCTGGGTGTACGACAGGTAACTCGGTCGCGCGCACGCGCAGCTTAATCCACGTACGATTTGGGCTGCTCGCTGAAGCTGTTGCCGCATTGTCGTCGATGGAACTGCGGCGGCCCCTCCTCGTCCGTGTCGATTGTCTTGTTGGTTGAGTAGATGGAGAAGGACTTCGCTTCCGCGTGGATCGAGAGGTAGGCTTGGTCTCGTTCGCAGTCGACTTTCGGTTGGAGGTCTTTGCGAGAGGCGCTGCGGGCTTCGCTGTCGATGGTTTCCGCGAGGGAGTCTTGGACTTGGACGTCCCGTTGGCGTTGGGCGTCGGCGTCGCTGCGTGTCCGTTGGTTGAAGCATATTTGTTCTTGGAGGGCGGACTGCTGTTAAGAGCTCCTCTCGTCATTCGCTTGCCCGATGGCGGATGGAACTCGAGGGGGATCGTGTTGATTCGACCAGACTTGCGTCTGCCGTTGTCGATGAAGGAGGTTGGGCCCTCCGCGGTGATCTTTTTCCATGGCGGGGAGATTTGCTTCTTTTTCTGGGCGGATCCAGGCGCAGATGGCGTAGATACGCGACGTCTTTTCGAAGGGCGTTCGTCATCATTATCGGAAGAGGGTGCGGGAGGAGGAGGGGAGGGTGATGGAGTTGATGGCGACGATGGTGCCGGCGAGCGGAGGGGCAGGCCGATGAAGTCGTTGCCGTTGGGGGTCAGTTGGCCTTCAAAATCGTCGGATCCGAGAGATTCGAGCGGTGATGACGGCGGATCGGTATCATACTGAAGTTGAGGCGCGGTTTGTTTGTCGCGTTGGGAGTCGATGACCTCGTTGGTGGCATGCGCAGGGTCGGACGACGCGGTCTTGTTCATAATAGCAACGGGGAGCGGACGCGAGATGGGGCCGTGATCTCGACGGGGCCGGCATCTGAAGCATCAAAATTAACGTCTATGGAATGGTGAGTGCTCAGAGACTTCTGGTTTGAGGTTTGAACATGATGACACGTCTTGGTGGCCGGCTGCGTTGGAAAAAGGATGCAAAACCAGCGTCGCCAGCAAAAAGTTTGATGATAGATTTTTTTGCAAAGATGCAGCTCCGGCCTTGCCTGGGCTAGCCGAAAAGAGAATTGGGTGCTTGGGCGGCTTGCCTCAGACTCGGGGCGTAGAGGTCGGTCGGGTGGTGACGGCGGACGATGGAAGGTCGTTGACGCTGCAGCTGCACACCACCGTGACTCAACCGCCAATGTAGAGTGCCAAAGGTACCTACCGTTAGGTACCTCACCCTACCTACCGTGTAGGCCAAGGGAAAGACGGATAGTGCTCCCTTGAACCAACTGTGACCACCGCGATGAGTGACAGCAGTCAGGGTGAGCTCGCCGAATCAGAAATCAGGTTTTTGCGGACTGGTCCCACCTCGGCCTCCGGCTGGCGTACACCTTCAAAAAGTCACCAGTTTGAACCTGCACGCCTCAGGCATCCCCGATGTCCGGGGCCAGCCAACCACAATCGAGGGATTTGGCTAGCAATCATCAACCGAGTAAAGCTTCGGCTCTGACCTGCGACGACATCACATTCCAAAATCAGGTAATTGGGCTGCATCGGAACCACTACCTCGGCCACGGTACGCCCCTCACATCCTCAATTGACTCCGAGTCGCCTTCACAATCTAACACGCGCCCTCCTGCAGATGCTGTCCCAACGATTTGCGCGGGCCTCGACGGTCCGCGGTGCCGTTCAGGCCGCCCGACGAACTCCGATTGTCCAGCAACGCACCTTCTTCCCTCCTCAGTTCAACGACCGCAAGGTCCTTGAGGAGAAGTACCCCGAATATCCGACTTTGTCTGACGCGGAGGACCCCAACATGGTCAGTGACGCGGCAATTGAGGACGAGAGGCTCGGTAGCGTTGGCTAACTTCCAGACGCGTAGAATGGCGGCTATATCAACCCTCCCTTCATCAAGAGACAGTTCCGCGACCCCCACGGCGACTGGTGGGACAAGCAGGAGCGTCGCAACTTTGGCGAACCCGTCCACGAAGACCACGACTTGCTCGGCATGTTCTCCCCCTTTGAGTACACCTGGACCACCACCGGCAAGGGTCTGGCCCAGATCGGTGCCTTTATCGTCGTTTTCCTCGGGGTCTGCGGCGTCGTCAAAGCCAGTTACCCGGACAAGGTGTCATACCCGAGAGAATTCCCCGACGGACTCGAGAGGGAGTTGGGAGGTGCTAGCGCTCTGCGGGTAGGTTCTGCGGCGGCTACACGAATTAAAACTACATGACTAACATCATCATAGGCGAGAAAGGCTGGCGACGCTGATCCATGAAAAGTTGAGACGTCCGGGGTTACGAATGGTGACGCATGTGTGTATTTTAGAGCAGAAGAAGCAATCCTTTGGGAACCCCAGCAGCAATAAGTTCATATGTCCTCCACCGATGCCCCTACAAGAGTCATTGGCATGTCACAGGCGGCTTGAACGCCCCATGCTAGCTCGACAATCAATTGTGCCTGGTCGCCGCAAAAGGATTCACGTGCCAACGGGTTTCTCCCAAACGAGGGGCAATGGCGCAAGGTAGGCAGGTACCTAGCTATTCAATGGGCGAGTCTTCCCGATGGCAAGTGCCACATTTGCGCTGGTCATTTCTTTTCGGACGGTACGTCCCAGGAGGACGGCAGCTTTGGCCAGGTTCTTCTTGCCTCGAGACAGCCCTGCACCGCATTCAGACTGCTGCCTTCCATCATATTTGATAGTGAGAAGCAAGTAACAACTTACTGTAACAAAGACTTGTTCTCTATTCACCTTGGTACAATCAGCAGACTTCATATCAACCCAGCAACGACGTTATTCAGTGTTTCCAAATACCCACCTCGATCATCGGGTTGGACAGTCATCGTAAATTGTGTCCATCTTCGTCTTCTCGCAGTCCTGCAATCCTGAAGGTTTGTTTCTTTCGGAACCTCTTTCACAGCCTCGCGCGGCTATCGAAGCAACTTGCAACATGCGTTTCGAGAATTGGGATGTCCTGTTGTTCCCCAGCGACGGGCATGTACCGCTGAAGGAGTTCAAAATAGACTGCTCTGTCATTCCCGACCCTGGTCAGTCTTGGCGAACTCTGCGGCCATGGACATTACTGATCAGTCGATGCTTTGACAGAATCCGGACCAGCCTTTCCGTCGAGGTCTTCTGGCCTGCCGACTGTCCATGGCTTCGTCCCTAGTCTCCACCGCAACACCCCGCTCTCGATTTCCATAATGTCATGGACAAAGCCTCCTGTCAGCGACATTACTCGATCCGCCAGCAAAGCCCCCGAGCTCGTGGCATTCGCGTTCCGAGTGTACATCGACGGAGAGCTCATTGCGTAAGGGTCCAAACTCTCGATATATATGCTCGTTTCAGCTTTTGACGAATTATCAGTGAGGACATGTGGAATCAAGACCGGCAGACACCTCTCGTCATCCGTCAGAGTTTGAGTGAGTTGACACAATTGCTAATTCGCAAATTGGCCTAGGGAAGTCGCTGCTAATCTGCCTCATTACAGAACCAAACAAGTTTGGCAACCAAGATGCAATCAGGTTCCCGGCGTTCAACGAGAAGTATTTGCAAGAACACAGCTGGAACCCCGCCGCATGGCTTGGCCGCATCCAAGTGATTATCACAGAAGCGTTCCTGCGCGACTCGGCAACTTTTCCCTTGGAGCGAATCAAGAATGTCGTTGCGTTTTCTTTTTGTCACGCACCATTAGGTTAGCAGCAGCTGGTGACCCCATTTACTGCCTGGACTGCGTGCTAATCATCATCAATACAACAGAGACTCTTGAAGGTGCTGCCATTGCCTGGCCGAACCGCCACATGTGGGAAAATGTCTCCCTGCCATACAGTATGCCCTTGACGGGTTGTACGCCTGACCATGGTCCAGCTTTCCAGGAAAGGCCGGCAAGGATTTTAGGAGATTTTTCGCAGCATCCTGCGTCTTCAACTCCAGCGTCCTCTACCTTGCGTGACTTCCAAGCAAGAGCTAGCCCATCAACTCAGGACCGTGCGACAGGCAGTCTTCGTCAGAATGCTAGAGGGGGATCTCATGGTCAAGCGGTCCATCATACCTCACCACACACCGGCGATCCCCCAGGCGCAGTCAGCATAGTGCACCCATCACTCGTGCATCAAAATACTAGCGTGTCTGGTGACGACCCTGCACTACTCAGTTGGATGAGTTGGGGTCTCTCGACTGTCCCCAGTCTAGCTCCTAGCCAGCTTTATCCAAGCGAATCTTCCACAGGGGACCAATTTGAGCAGAGTGAAACTTCGTCGACCTCAACTTGCGTTCCAGCGTCTACAACTACCAACTACGTCCCTGGTAGGCTTAGCCGTTTTTCTTCCAGGTTTTAGGATTCAGCTAAACTTCAGCAGTTGTCCACCGTACGGAGTCACAGTTTGCCCCGTACTCGAACAGTAACACGTTAAGCATAGACTCGGCAACACCGCATGGAAACTTCCCTCTGTCGGCTCAGAAATACAAAATTCCGATACCCGCGGTTGAGGTCAAGTCTCGTAAACATTTTCAGGCTCAGCGAAATCCTGTCGAGTCGCTGACATCAAAACTTCCCAAAGTAGAAGTGCGCCGGGAGCTCTCGGTAAAAGAGGAGATGCTGGCACGCCTTAACAGGCAGGATCTGTCTGAGCCAGTCTTTAAGTTGATTGAGCCCATCAGTAGGGCCAGCCGCGCTCCATCTTTGGGGTCAGAGAGGCAGTCTGCGGCAGAGAAGAGTTACCGACGATCTGTGTCATTCGATCCAGATGTCAAGAACATCAGATTTCGAAGGTCGCAACCTCCGAACAAGCCTATCCGGTCTAAATGCAACTTCACGCCCCTTGACATTGAAGATGTTGTCAGCAATACCAAATATGACCGTTCCAATCCCATACTCTGACTACCGGCTACAAGGTTAGGTACCATCGCATGACGAGTTGAAAGGGGATACGTACCTCGGCTTTTGGTACTGATGAGTCTTGCTTCGATTAGATAGTCAAGTATGATTATTTGAAAGTATACGTGATCATGGAGTTGTGGGATGAACAAGGTTTGCGGTGTGCGCCACCTTGGGCCTTGACTCTCCTGGGGGTCATTCGGCGATGAACGATGTGGGAACTTTTCACCAAAACCACGCCAGCAATTGCAACCCGCGATTGACGTTTTGTACCTCACGTGATAAATAGAATTAAAAAGTTATCTCTCCGGGCGTATCACTGTTTGGTGGACAGCCAGTCTCAAGTCAAGAATGTCGTGATGATCCGAGACTGTACTTGGGCTAGATTAAGTTGTCCAACTACGAGCCGAAGACCGATGGATAATTAGGGGGGGTTCTTGGGTTTTGCAGAAGTGCGGGATTCCCACGATCCACTGTAAGGCTGATTGAATGCAGTCCTTCTATTCTCATGCAATTTCACGGATTATCTATTCCTGGATGGAAGTCCATGGTACATTGCAGATAGATTCTCTTGGGCCCAGATGTCGGATGGCTTATGCCTAACATAGTCTATTCCATGAGCCGCTCCGTTCCGTAAGCCGAGTTTACTTGTTTTGTTCAGGCTCGCCTTTCCGAATTCTTTCACAGATCTACGAACATTTGATCATCCTCCCACTGGATGACCTTTTTCGAGACTGTTCTTCCAAAGCTTTGTTTCTGGTCAATATTGCCCATACCCGATCCATTCTGTCACACCTCACTCTTCAACGCCATAGCGAGTTAGATATTGGGAAAGCCTTTGGCGATTAGATTTAAAACGTCGGATATTCTGCGCGTGATGACGCCTCCCGAACCGAAAGCCGAGCTGGGGTGCAAAGATTCCCCCGACCCCAGATCTTGCACTCCGCAAGTGGCTCAATTTGACCTCCAATTCGTTCGTTTGAAAGGGGCAATGCAACATCTACGTGTGCGCGACTGTGGGAAACAGTTCTTTGCATTGGTCGTGAGAGGAATTAGCAGTGGAACGTCGGAATATTCTATCATCGACTCTGGGGTGGGCGGCCATTGATAGGACTCGAGCTACGGTTAGCTAATTTTAATCGTGCATAAGAGATCCCATGTCCCGGTTTTATACTTGTTCCGTTTAGTTGGCTGATGTGCTGTAAGCTGACTGATCTTGTCGACGTTCGATTAGAGTAGAGATCCTGAAGAAGTTACAAGCATGGCTAGGTCTGGCGGCGATCTTCCTGACCGGGGCATATACTGCTGCTCTTGAGACTTCCGAGGCTTCATCTTCAACAGTCCAGCCGACTGCTGTATCGGCTTGTTCTTACAGCACCTTTGCGTGCGAGCAGCTGACGTCCAATCTGTACCCGACGCTGCTACCATCCCCTTTGAACAGCGAAACTCCAAACGTACCACACTTCACCCAGGCGTCGACGCTGTTGCCGGATAATGTCACTTATACGAAGTGTTCTTCAATCCAGTGGCCACGGTATCCCCTAATGGCCAGCACGGTCAGAGCGCCTATGTCGCTCTCTTGGCCAAGTACACTTACACGCATGAGCCTCCCTTCACGACCACCGCATCGCCGACACCCATCCCTTCCAACGAGCTGGTCTGCCCCTCTCAGCTGCCCGCCAGACCTCTTCACGACAACACCGAGCTCAAGTTCCCTGCCAGGATTGGGTGGGGCGTGACGGCTAGCGCATGGCAGATCGAGGATGGTCTCCAAGTCGAAGGTTGTAAAACTCCCCTTCAGATAGATTAATGATTCAAATCTTGTTGGTCTTGTTGGTATTGCCACTGAAATTGATGCTTTCTAGAGCCTTGAAAGATCTGGATGTTATTTGTCAACATTTTGTTCTACTTGACTTTGTACCAGCAGTTGCACATGGTCTGATTCCATGAGTGTGAATTCATCACTGAGTTCGTCGTTGATAAGGACGACCGTTTTATCCAAAGGGAATGGCTGTGGGCTCGATCAGCCATTGAAGTTTTTCAATAATTGCACTAGATCTGTGATTAACTATCTCTTCAAAGCATATATCCGGCAGTTCACTCCCCCGGATATTGTTGCCAGAAACAATGCCAACGATTACCGAGACAACTTGGCACTAAAGTCTAGAATATCGTCTCATTCCCGTATAGCCCTCATTTGTCGCATTGAGATAGGGTACGATTTGCCTCGCATTATTGAAGCGAGCGTGCATGATATTGATAGTCGATATCCAATGCTTGACTTAGTCTCGACTTTTATGTATCAGATTTGCAATAGCTGACGATGCATACACCAGAAAACGAGACCGAGATCTCAGCGTGGTGTCTTCAATGCTTTACCACGACCAATGACTAAAGTAGCGGAGTTTGGGCAGCGGACTTTCACAACTCACCTGATCGGTGCAACATTGCAGAACTTGGATTTGTAATCCGTCCTCGACTGAGTCCATGTTTGCCCCTCATCTGATGTTGGAGGGTGCGATCACCACACGGAGCGGGGACCCGGGAGGGCCAAAAGGCGGGGCCTTCGACGCGGTTCGCCCGAACCTGCGTCTCCTCACCGAGGCGAGCTCCGTGTTGATTGGAAGAGGATCGGACCTTGAAGAGGGGGACCAGATGGCTTTAGCGGCTGTTAACATGTCCGAGAAAGACATGGAACGCTCCTTGTCGTGGGGCGTGTCCGGGAAGCGATGCATGGAATCTAGAAGTACAAAGAAGAGCTCCAGACCTCGGTAGTCTTGACGTCACTGGCCGGGCGTTTTAAGCTTCAATTTTTATACACTGCAGACCGTTATTTATCTCAACAACTGCCAGAACCCGGACATCACCTTTTCTCATCTGAACATCACTACGCTGCTCAACAGTTAGTCAAGCACAGCATCACCACACATTATGAAGGAAGCCATTGTCAACCCCGACCTGTCCGTCGAGGTCAAGGACTCACCCATTCCCGAACCAGGGCACGGGGAGCTTCTCGTCAAAGTCATCGTCTCAGGCACAAACCCAAAGGACTGGAAGCTCCCTTTTTGGTTCCAGGCCGCCTCGAACTCGGGCGATGACGTAGCTGGCACAGTCGAGAAGGTCGGCTCCGAGGTTTATGAGTTCGCAAAGGGCGACCGCGTCGCCGGGTTCCACATCATGCGCACCGCCAACGGCAGCTTCGCCGAGTACGCCATCGTCCCCGCCTACACCACCTTCCACCTCCCCGCGAGCGTGACCTTTGAGGAGGCGGCGACGGTGCCGCTGGCCGCCTACACGGCTGCCACGGCGCTGTTCCACTCGCTAGAGATTCCCTCGCCTTGGGACCGGGCCAGGGAGACCAAGTCGCCTGTTGTCATTTACGGCGCCAGCACAGCCATCGGTGCCTTTGGCATCAAGCTGGCGAAGAAGGCCGGCGTGCACCCACTGATTGCCATTGGAAGTAAAAACAGCGCTTTCGTCACTCCGCTCTTGGAAAAGGAGAAGGGGGACGTCTTTCTGGATTACACGCAGTTCGAGTCGCAGGACAAGCTGGCGGAGAAGCTGAGAGAGGTCATCAAGGAGACCGGGCTGCGATCATTCAGGGTGTTTGACACGGTCAGCGAGAAGGGGTCGTACCAGATGCTCAGCAAGGCTATCGCGGGTGCGCCCGAGGAGGGCACTGGTTTCAAGCCGAGGATCACGACGGTGTTGCCCGGCAAAGACTTTAGCGACGTCGACCCCAGCGTCGAGGTCATTGTCACGAGCGTCGGCTTTGTGCACGAGGAGGAGAAGCAGGGCCGGCTGTTTGGATTGATCTGGGCGAGGGTCTTTGCAGAGGCGCTGAGGACGGGATGGATGAAGGCACACCCGTACGAAGTTGTCAACGGCCTGGAGGGAGTCCAGAAGGCTCTCGAGGGGCTGAAGAATGGCACCGTCCGCGCCAAGAAGATGGTCATCCGTGTCGCGGAAGACAATTGACAAAAGAACTTGGGAGATGATTTGTGGTAACTTGTAATGTAGTGCGTGCAGATCCAAAAAGTTTCCTGGCGAAATAAGGTGCTTACGGATGTGCGCGGGATATTTTGCCACGCGGGAACGCTGATGACGGCTGATTTTTAATCTATTTTTGTTCTCTTCCGCACTCAATCGGAGCAATCTCCAAGAGGTGCGGCATGCTATCCTCAGCAGACGGACCCTCCCCGTCAATGCCGCCGTTCAGTACCAACTAGACAAAGCAAATGCTCCTCGCAACGCCTTCCAATTCGTAGCTTACATTCTAAATTCACGCCAAGGAACAAAGGGAAATGAGAGACTCTGACGCAAGTCCCCGAGTCCAAGGAATGAAATCGCCGAGACGCTCGACTGAATCTCCGGTCCTCCACTACGCCATGCCGACGTGGACGTCCTTGCCCTTGACACTCTTCCACTCCACAAATACCGAGCCAATGATGGTCGCAGAGGCCGTCACGGCGCTCACGAGGAACGCTTGTGCCAAGGCGTCACTGTAGGCATGCTCAACCGCAGGCAATAGAGCTGGCTCAATGGTCTTTCGGATAGCTGTCACACCCGCGGCGATGACGGAATGGGGGTCAATGTCTGGGATGTACTCCACCAGGCTCTCGACGAGCTTGTTGGTAAAGACTGTTTGGCCGATGGCGACGAAGATGGCACCGCCAACTGTCTGTGTAAAGATGATGATGGCGGTTCCCGTGGGCACGTCGGCCATCTCGAGGACCACCTGCACCGCCATCAGAGGCTGCTGCATAGCGGCGCCGACTCCAGCGCCGGCGAGGATTTGGTAGCCGATCCACATCGCAGAGGACGTATTGGGGTTGAAGGTGGAGATGAGACCGTATCCGATTCCCATGAGAATGGAGCCGAGAATCATCCAAGGGGTATAGTAGCCCCATATGGTGACGGCGGCGCCCGCCACAAGTGAGGCGATGATGTTGCTGACCAACATGGGCAAGTTCCTGACTCCCGAGTTGACGGCTGAAACGCCCTGGACAGATTGGAACCAGATGGGTAGGAAGTAGACAGACAACAGGAATGCGGCGCCGGTGTTGAAGGCGAAGAAGGAGGATGACCAGACTGAGCGTTGCTTGAAGATGCGCGGCGGCACTGTGGCGTTTTCCTGGCCGAGGTACTGCAAGTACAGGAAACCTGCCATACCGAAGCCAAAAATAAGGAAGAGAGCGATGACGCGGGCAGAGGCCCAGGGGTATGTGACGCCACCCCAGTGGAGGGCGAGTAGGAGACAGATGATGGCCGGCATGAAAAGCATGTTTCCGAGGGGGTCCATCTGGATAAGGCGCGTACGCCACGTCTCCTGAGGAATGGAGCGGACGGGGTCAGGGAAGAAGAAGAGAATGACGATAATGGTGACAGCTCCCTGTTCACGGCATTAACACAATAATATTTTAAAAAGGATCGAGCTCGACTTACGATCGGCAGGTTGATGTAGAAGCACCATCGCCACGTGAGACTATCCGTGAAGACACCACCCAGCAAAGGGCCAGCGACGGACGAGATGCCCCACATGCTACCGACAGCACCGGTGTAAATGGGGCGTTTCTCAAGGGGCACGCTGTAGGCGAGGATGATGAGTGCCCCGGCAAAGATGCCAGCTGATCCGACTCCGGCGATGGCACGGCCGATGATGAGCGCGATGCTGTTGGGCGCGATGCCACAGATCAAGCTGCCAAGCTCGAAGATGGCGATGGTGACAAGATACACCCACTTGATGCTGAAGAAGCTGTAAAACTTGCCGAATAGCAGCTGGAGTGAGGCTGTCGTCAGGAGGTAGGCGCTACCGTACCAGCCGACGTCATTCAAGCTCTTGAACTCATCCGTGATGCGAGGGATGGCAGTAGCTATGATGGAGTTGTCTGCATGGTGGTGGTTAGCTGTGGCTCTAGACCGTCGGATATGTGTGTGTGTATGCATCGGTTCCTTACCCAGAGCCATCAAAAACACACTGAAACACAACGCAGTGACAATCAGAGCCAGCTTCATTCCCTTTGGATACTCGACATTATCCTCGTCATTCACAACCTCGGCCTGTTCTGACTTGATGGAAGGTATCCTTGATAGCTCGCTGTACGGGACTGGGGGTAGCAGAATAGGGTCGATTCGTATATCTTGAAATGACGCGGCGGAGCTCGCAAGTGTGATGTCTTTTTCCATCTCATCGTAGTTTGAGCTCGAGTCGCTTGGTGTCAGGGTTGACTCTCTTGACTGAGGGAACGTCGGAGCTGCCATGAAGGACGGCACCGCGGCCTTCTGAGCGTCGAACATATTGTCGACGACAACGGGATGGTCGAATGCTGTAGAGAGGGGTTGGGCAGGCCTACAGGTGCAGCAAGGTAGAGTCGGGTACTCGGGATGGAGTGACACGATGCGGATGGCAGGTGAGGTGGCAGCGCTACTCTGTTACTTCTTGATTGTTTATCCTAATGAGGAGACTGGGAAACCAGAGTAGGGGTGAGGATGACGGATTCTATATAGCTCAAGTTAAGTATGTTGGACGTGTCAGTTCTTTGGAGACTTCCGACCAAGCTCATGGCCTTGCCGAGGACCTGGATGCTGGGGTCGGAAGCAGGCGGTGATGGTCGCACTGGGAGATTAGAGAGCGCAACTCCCCGAGACACTTGTCTGGGCTCCCATGTCACACCGGCATGCTTCCGGCAAGGGCAGGAGTGCAGAAGGCAGGTAGCGCTGACTCTGACTCTGGCTGGTGAACGGGAAGCGGACGCCAAGTATCGGTCTCTTGGTGTTGTACAAGAGATGATACCCTGGGAGAGGGGCAGACGTTGTCTCAGTCGTCTTGGGAGCTCTTCTCCCATGCGCCGAACGGTGTGCTGTGTAAGCTGGAGCCATGGCTGGTGGCGTAGTCAGGATGATGACGACCAAAGACGAGGTACAGTAGTTGGTGGCTGGCAAGGCAACTCAGCAAGCGCCGGCACTGAGCATGCAGACGGTACTCGGACTGGGGGGAGAGAATCCCACTCCCCCGTCGCACTTGAGACTAGGCAGTTGGGACAGCGGAAGGACGCGACGCCCACACGGAATGGCGAAATACGGGAGGCTCCATGGCCAGAGACGGGTACAGCGTCATCGGCGGGATGTTGGTCAACCCCGAGCCTTGTTTGCAGATGGACGTATACCGGTAAGACGGGGAGGGGCGTAATTTGAAGAAGCAAAGGTTCAAGAGAGGCGGATCAGGGTTAAAGACATTGTTCGACGATGGGAGAGGGCATCTCGGAGTCGCACGACGAGGTGTCCAAGCTGTGGGAACAGCGGGAGGCTGCTTCTTCTGCACGATGCTGCAATCATTTCGAGGTCTTAGATGCCGCTCACTTGATGCGTCAAGCCTGCCATTGAACAGCTGAATGCAAGTGCCCGAAAGATTGATCGACGGTTGTTGACGTGCAGCTTGATGGAATTCAACGGCAACGAACGCCTTCAACACCCTCGCCCTCGCCCTCCGTTTAATCTGCGTCCTGTTCCGGGAGACGGGTACGTACCGCCGGGTCAGCTAGATATGTGAGTGTCACGTGATGAGACAGCCGTTGATGAGGTTCCATTCAGGATGATTACCTAAGATATTCAAATAAAGCGGGCCCATTCCCTCCAACTACGGTACCCAAGCACGGTCAAGGAACCTACAGGCTATGTACATTAACCCCCGAGTCACCTCACTCTTTGATATGAGCAGGACACTGAACCAACATCACTATTTCGCTCCACAATACGTGAAGGGAGAAGTACACGAACTTGACTGTCTCAAACTTTTCCAGTGTCCTCGTTCGGAAGCCTCGAATGACCCGAGTTACCGGACAGGAAGCGAGCGACCGCGCCGCATAAAACCAACACCATCGAGCACCAGCGAAGCTATTGGACCCTCCAAGTGGGCAGACGGAGCCCCCATTGCTCATACGGCGGTGAGGCTTAGCATCACGGAGAAGCCTTCCAATGCTACGTACGCCCGCCATCTCTTGTCTCCCGTCAGATCTAGTCGCACCACAGACTCGACACCCCAGATTGTCCAACCATTGGGACAGTTTCCAGCATTTTGGTTGCGACCGGGAGAACACTCGCTGTCTTCGCGGCACTGAAACGCTTTCCTGCCGCCCTGTCAACCCGACTTGGGTCGCTTGGGTCTCCGACTTGGATTTGATTGCTTCCTGGTGTATCACCCCGCCGTGTAACAACTATCGCCATTTCCTCCTCAGGTCTTGTCTTCCTGATACTGCTCGACCCCTTCTCCCCCTTGTTCCCTTTTTTGTCCCCATCGGCACAATGTGTTTCCTTGACCAGTATCTACCTATCCCTCGTGCAGCCTTCCATCACACTACCAACGAATGAGACGGCGAGGCTTCCACTTCTCCCATCAACGATCATCGATTCAGCGAGCCAAACCCTCATCATAACAGGCCTCCGATGTCTACGAATAGGTATGAATAACATGTCTATTCACCATGGTGACGCATATGGCTCGAGGTCGATAGGCTTTTACATCCACGGCATGCGCTTCTGCTACTGACATGGGATCGGCGCTACGTTTTCTTTTGACACAGACACGATGCTAAAATGCTCATGCAGTTAGGCTGTGTGTTCAGTGTTCAAATTCAGACGATCGTACTTCGTCGTGCCCTTATCTTCCCGCGTGGGTCTTGGTACTCGACAGTTCGTCTTCCCTGCAACTCCGCGAGACACAACATCTCGACCGAGGCGCATAACTCCAATGTTTGTGTAGTAATTTCGATATGTAACCGTTGTTGCAGCCCTCGCGCTTTGCCACGAGTCTTTACGCCGTCTCACTGCACCAAATTCATGTCATCGACACCGACAAGCCCTCTGCCGTGGACTGACTGGGCCTTGGGTTCTCTCCGTCAACAAATCGACGTTGCTTCTACTCCAAGGTACTCTTGTCGGCGGCTGGTACTACCTCAGTACCAGACTAGGAATGTCTCGGGAGACAAAGACACCATTGGCGCCACCATAAAGACTTCGACATCGTCGTCTCCATATCTACGTACTTAGGAAGCTGGGCCCCTGGCCTCTCGCTCTCTCGCCCCCATTCAGCACTAGCTCAATCTGTCCCCCAGTTCACAAAGCCGTTTACACCATGCGAGGGTTCAGCCAGAGGCGTTTCGAACCAGGTGGCTGCCATCGCTGCAGTGCTTTCCAGGCGCACCTGTCAACACCACCGCCGTATGCACGCTCCATCCAGTCACTGCGGCTGATCCAAGACAAGATCGAGCAATTTATCCGGCGACAAGACTGTTCCAGAACTCGGCTCACTGCGGGCAATTGACGAGCAACTAGTCAACAGGCGACGACACTAGCTGCCTTCGACTGACGAGCAAACAAAAGATCCGATGAGGCAATGGTGGTCGCACTCGAACATGCGTGTGGAACATGCGTATGGAACATTCGGTCGTCTGTTGTGACGCCCCAATGTGGTTTGCACATCGAGGTTTTACAAGCATCAGTTGCAGCGCGTACGCGGATTCATCTATCGTCGCTCGAAGCATTTGCTTCCATTCCAGGCCCTGTCTCTACGCGGATTTCCGGCCCGTTCGCGTTTGCGCCAGCTGCATACCGAGATCGAGGTTCTGGGACATGGATTCAGAATGGTTCAACCTCTTCGGAGCTTGAAATTCGTTCACAGTTTTACCAAACGCGTCTGCTCTTCATGCTTGCAGGGGAGGAAAGAGGTCCACAAGTCTTGGTCCTTCTCGACAGCCAAAACCTGTCAGTCAAGGCCCGCCACCACGGTATCAGCCTCTTTTGAGATTTCTGGCATAGCTGTGATTACAATCTCGTCTATTACCATGTGCCCGACGTCTACAGTCTACCGCTTCCTTGTCCTTTTCATGTTCATGGTCAGAAGTGCATCACCATGCTTCCCTTTTTATCAATTAATGTATTGTCCTCCACACTCTACTGCCAAATTTCCCATGCTTGTAAAGGTTGGCCCGATCCAGCCAGGCCGCCCTCCTCAAGGTGGCTTCTATCCCAGATCATTTTGATACCTGCCGATTCAAAATGTGCTTCCAAGGAGTTTATATACTTCAGACTGATGTCACTTTTGTCTGTAGATTTATCAAACTTGACCTGTTTTACTTTTAAATTTGGTGACGCGAACAAAATTTCTTCGGCAATGCGTCTCAGCTTCCCCATTATTCTCTTGTAAACATGTCAGAACTCAATTTGAAGGATAGACGTTGGTAGAATATCAGTTAAGCTCCAGTTGGCCTGTAGTTTCAGCCATTTTCAAAAGGAACTGCTCGCGGACTGGTGTCGATAGCGGCTTGATCATATACAAACTCCTGTATTCGAAGGTATGGAAGGCCACCAGCAACTGTACGGGAGTGTTCCCTACTCCATCGGCCTAACTCATGAGAGAGGCGCAACTTCCGTAGGTTATGGCGGACTAGTTCAAGTGCCTGAAGCAGTTTCGAGACGTCCCAATATTCGATGTTCGAGTTCCGGTAGATATCTCTTGCTCCGAATGCCAGCCCTTGCAAATTGGGGAGGCATTTTACCAGCAGACTAAGTAGTAAGATCCTCAAAACCGATCTCGCTCGCCAATAATCTCGGTACGTTGCCTAACTTCAGTGTTCAAGGGTTGACCAGAGTCCTCTGGTTTTGGCCGTCAAAGACACTGCATCACATAGAATAGAGAGTTTTGAGGTTCGGTGCCGCGATGAGGAGCGCAGAAGCTTCACCTTTTTTCAGTCCGGTGGTTCTTTTCGACACACCTGAGATCGATTGTTCGGAGTGCGGGGAAACAAGCCCGGCTGTCTCTGATGTGCTCATAATCCTCAAAGCTATCCCGGGCTGTCATGAGGATATCAACGTCTGATGACAAAAGAATCGCTAACTCTTCGAGCCAGTGGTACATCTTCCAGCCTTAAATGCGCAGCAAAGCCTCGAGCTAGCCGGAGAAGTCTTTCCATATTTTGGTATGCAAGTATCCTCTGCTTGGAGCGTGTTGTAAAGCGCCAGCCTTTTCAGTTGCCTTGATGAGGAGAGGAGCCAGATCTGGCGTGCACCCGCTGAATAAGTCATTCTCTATCAGCTGCAGTGTTCTGATATGAGACGACAAGTCCGGACTTTTTCATAGCGCAGTAAGAGGGGCACCTTGCCGTCGTCGTTGTTTTGCAAACGTTCATTAGACTTAGCTCTGATACCGCAATGATGTTTTTGAGGCAAACCTTTCGTGGCGTAGGTATGGGAAAGGAACGGCGGGGCAACAGCGGAAATTCGCCTGGACACGCGACAAAGACGCCGCAACGCCCTTGTGCTTAGTCGGAAGTTGTCCTTCCCGGCGTCGGGAAGAGTCCCGGCGTGTTGACAGTGGAATCAGAGCAGAAAGCGGATTTGCTCCACGAGCTTGAGGGGCATGGAACCCATTTCCTGGGGTTTCATTGTGATTGGTAGAGTCCATAAGCTGCGTGTTGATCCGACACTTTAGCGCTCAGATTTCGCCATGTCGGTTTGTATGAGGTTGCTCATGCCCGGATTGAAACATGTCCCCGGCTCATCAACTTGCACGACATCTTCGATTTTCGCGTGCTGATGGGCATGGTGGACGTGTACCACAGGGACGCGGCTCAACAAGGTTCACCAGTGTTATCAAATTTGCTAGTAAGCTAATTACCGACCCAATTCTCGGCGAGCTTGGCCCTGCTTGGAGCCTCCCTTGGCAATAGCCGTGGGTTTTAAGCTTCTTCGATTTCAGGACGACCATCCATTCGTAGGCTGATCACTGATTCCATTCCGGGACTCCCGGTGTCTCATTACAGGAGACTTTGAATTACGGTAATATAAGATAGATAAATCGCCGTTGAAGGGGGATTTCCACGCAAAAATGATTTTGAATTCAAGTGTCAAACATCGGATGACCTTTGTCAGCCTCGACATATCAGTCGGTTGGTCGTATGGGATCCTATCCAGACGAGCACGCGAGGTTGGCGCGTCCTTGCCAGCCTAAGCACTGCCCTGGACACAGGTCTGAGGTAAACGCGTACAGACAATTGCGTCTGATTCTTCGTTGTAGCGCCTGAATGGGTCCTTTAATGTCAAGATGCCTCTCAAACAGTCAAACCCTGAGACCAGTATCTGGAACTCGTGCAACCAACTACCAAGAGCCAAACCATCGGGTCATGCATGCCCGCGGCAAGTTTGATTATGGGCGTTACGATTAGTCGCCCTACGGAAGATCAAACTTGCATCTCGCCTGTAATGCTCGATATAGAGTCTGGGGTGTGGAGGACTCCAGCAGTTGTCTTGAGTTTCGCGGCTGCACTAACATTTGGGGACACAAAGGGTTGACACGGGACCGATTCTGTGACCGGGGGGTCTCGGCTGACCCGTTCCATCGGGTCTTCTTAACATTAGCGATCAGATTGTGGGGCCGATTCCCGGAGCAGATGTTGTTTTCGTATCCACGAGACGAGACCGTTCGACCGGAACTCGCCAATTCTTTACATTAGGGGAACGGAATTGAACTAGATAGGCGGGGTAAATCGTCCATGACTCAACAACAAAGGTCTTGTTTGATTTAAAGGGAATTTGATTCGTCTTCTTCCATTCTTATCTGCCCCGATTTTACCGTTCATCCATCCCCTGCCGACCCCGCGGAAAAACGCTTACGGGGTTTATATGTCCAGCTTTGTGCTCATCAACCTCTTCTCATGTATTTACGTCGGACAACATCGACAGCCCCCATTAAAACCACCTGCATCGACGACTTCAACCATGTTACTGAATCCTTTTTTCGGGGCAGCCATCCTTGGAGCCCTGTTGGTCTTGTACCTGGCGCATTGCTACTCATCTCCGCTATGGAACATCCCGGGACCAACACTGTCAAAAATTACCTCACTCCTCCTGAGATGGCACGAATTCGAAGCTAATCGAACGCTTTACATCCACTCCCTTCACTTGAAGTACGGTCCTGTCGTGCGAATCGCGCCTAATGAGGTCTCATTTACGTCTTACGAGGCCGTCAAAGAGATTTACGGGTCTCTGGGAAGTGGTTACGATAAGCATCGTTTCTACAACCTTTTCAAGGTTTTTGGGCGCAGGTGAGTACCGCAAATTTTATGGAAGAACTTTTGATGCCGCTGACACTGCGTTTTGGTTCTTTGATTTAGAACCATGTTTTCAACCCTTGTGAAGGGCGATGTAGGTCGCCTCAACTGATTGTCTGAGGAAGATGATATCTGACAAATGTTTAGCACGCAAAGCGCAAACGTATCATTGCCGATCGCTATGCTAATAGCAATATTGTGAAGCCCATGGCACTCAGCGGCATTGAGGAGCGCGCGGAAAACTTTGTAAAGCAGTGCGCCGATTCAGCAAGGAATAGTATCGATGTCTACGTACGTTCACTATTTCGGACACAATGAATGGGTGATGGCATCATCTTAAAATCTTTCTGACACATAACTTTTCTGATTATCAGGTCAAGCTTCACTCTTACGCTTGTGACTGCGTTACCCATCATTTGTTCCACCCTTACGGAACAAATAGTCTCCAGAAACAGGAAGATACAGACATGATGGAACAAGTCACGAAGGATGACAGTTTGCGAAGTGAGGTTGTTCAGTTCAGCGGGAATTGAGTGCTTGCTTACCTTAAACTCACTAGGCCGCCTTATCCAGCACCACTATCCGGTCTTCTATCAGTACTTCTCTAAAATTCTTGACCTATTCTTCGATCCGCGAGCCACACCCCTCGCCAAGGACTTTGTCGTCGGTGCTACCTCCAGAATCGATCCCGCGCCCTTCACTCTCCTAAGCCGCCTTCAAGATAAGAGAGAAAGCGGCAGCAGCGTCAATCAAGTGGATGCTATCGACATCGCCGCGGAATGCACAGATCACATGGTTGCTGGTATCGATACAACAGGTGATTCGCTGTGTTTCTTAATGTGGGAACTGTCGCAGCCGGCATCTCTTGAAATTCAACGAAAGCTCCAACAGGAGATTCGAGAGAACACAGACGTCTCCTTTGATAAGCTTTATTATCTTGACGCCGTAGTTCAAGAAGGCCTACGATGCTATCCTGCGATTCCAATGTCGCTACCCCGAGTGGTCCCGCCTGGGGGGAAGACAGTTGATGGGTACTTTATTTCTGAGGGGACCATTGTGAGCAGCCAGGCTTATTCAGTACATCGCAATAACGATGCAGTCTTCCCGAGTCCTGAAACTTTCGCCCCTGAGCGCTGGATGTCTTCTTCCGGAGAGGCCGAGAGGAAGCGGCACTTGTTTGCGTTTGCCCACGGCGGAAGAGGCTGCGTCGGAAAACAGTAAGCGCTTTCCACTACCTTCTTACAGGCTACTTGTGCGAGAGGATACTGATCCTGGATAGTCTTGCATTGGCGGAGATGAAAATTTTGCTTCGCAGCATATATGGACAATATTCCACAGAACCAGATCCGTCTATTACTCTCGAGAGCATGAGGTCTCACGACCAGATCATTTCTGCTCGGCCATTTGGACAACGGTGTCTTTTGCGATTCATTCCCATCCCGAATGAAGAGGCTGTGTGAGCGGCCGGTCGACAAATGGTCTTGCAAGTTAGTGTCAAACAAGAGGATTCAGATTGCCATTGGAGTAGGTAGGTCTGAAGTTGTGAACAGACAAGCAGAGGAGGATCACACGAAGAGGGTATATTAGTAGTTGCTCGACCAGTAGACTGAGGTACCACTATAATCAGATACTACAAACATCTTCTTGAAGTAATTCGAATGCTAGATGTAGCCTCTTCTTAATACGACTTGGTCACCTCGAACAGAGATCAATCCTATGCTACGAAAACATTTTCCGCTTTCATCCCGGGATTAAATAACCCTCTGTCAACATCCTGGCAAAAGACCCACCGTCCAGAGAACCAGACTGGACTTTGAACAAATGATATCTGTACGCAAGTCGCTAGTCAACTGTTAAAACCCGGGGCAGGAGGCGGCGCTTGGAAACAAAGGTTATTACATCTCCACCGGGGTCTCAAACGTTAGCTCAGTGAATTAACAGGGAGGTTCAACTGCAAATACCTATTTTACTTTCTTCGCTTAACTTTTATAGCTAATATAAAGTGGTACTTTTAAATCTAAAATCTAATATTTTTATTAAAAATAAACCTCTTTTTTATATATATTTTACTATTTTTTTTTATTAATTTTATGATAATAATAATAATAATAATAAACTTTATTATTATTATTGATAAAAGAAAATATTAATCCTTATTTTATTATATATTTTATTTATGCGTATAAATATCGTGATTATATAAGGTTACTACTGATTCTAGTAAAGTCTACTGGCAGGTGCTGCGCTAACGTATAAAACCCTGGTAGAGGTTTACTACTCAATAGGTCTGAGAATGGGATCCGGCTTTAAAGATCTCTTGGCCATTGGCTACCGGGAACCCCCACCGAGTCATTGTCGGCATTTGAACAAAACCTTGTTTCTTGTCGGTGTTGTTACCATCGGCAGCGCAAATTGCGTGGAGTCGTGGATGCTATGGAAGCTTGACAATTTTCTTAGGCTGAAAGCTGTCAATGCCTATGCTCCATGGCTGACAGCCTGTGTATTCCAATCCCGCTTGATGGCTAGTACACAGAAAATATAGATTTTGCCACATCCTGAGGAAGTCTAGAACTAGCGTTGGCTATCATGGCTCTATAAGTTGCACCAAGAAGCGCAAAAGCTCAAGATCAAGATTTGGCGCGTGCGATGCGAGAGGGACTAGATGGAGTCAGAAATCTGAAATGACTTCTCGTTGATAGTAGACGTGACGCGGCGACAGCTTGTCTCGGACGGATAATTTCGCTCATGTGGCCGGCCGACATAGCGGGCGCCCATAAAAGCTTTTACGGTGAGTTTAGGCTCATTTCCCTCTGTTCTTCTTGGTTACGAGCTAGTAAATTGGCATTTCTTTCTCCAGCTGCCGCTCAGCCTTGGTCAATCAAAGCGTTGAACTCTAAGAGAGAGCATCATGGCCTAATCCTTGCTCTGCGAGAATTTAATCCACCGGATGGTCCGGGATGTAGGGCCTTTTCAAGCACGCAAGCTTGTACAGCATGCTACAATTCAGTAACAAACGACAACGGGAGAATTATTCAGTCGTATGTCAGACACAAAGTGGCAGCGATGATCGTGTACCTTGGAAATAGGGATAACGTGCTGGCAACCAATAGCTTTCACGGAGGCTTGCTCCGGCCTTGGACTCGCAAGATGTTCGTCTGTCGATGTGGAGCCCGTCATTTAGAATTCGTGTTCTTCAATCAATTTGACTTCATGACCTATTGGAGTCAAACTCTGCTTGGTCATTGGCCTTACCTTCTTACCGGACCGCCGGGCTCGGCATGTACGGATATATAGTTCTTATAGTCGCCACGTCTTGACCGCGTCGTTGTGGGAAGACGCGATTTATAAGTCACTCCTTTGATCAACTAGTCATTCGTTTTACTCAACATATCTTTGCCATGCGTTCCCATATTTTGTCGCTCTGCGCTTTCAGCGCCACATTAATTAGTGCCTCAACCGCCGGTCTCGGCTGCTACGACGAGTCCGCCTTCAAGCCCGAGGACATCATTCAACCTGATGTCCTCGTCATTGGAGGTGGAGCCACCGGCACATACGCCGCCGTCCGTCTTCGGGACCAGAACAAGACCGTGGCCGTCGTCGAACAAACCCCACTGCTCGGAGGTCACGTCAACACCCTCCACCCCGTCACTGGCGAAGTTATCGAGTATGGCGTGCAGGCATACATTCAGAATGACCAGACGACACAATTCTTCGCGCGTTTCAACGTCCAGCTGAACAACTCTGCCCTGTCTCCTTTCCCGAGCAAGATTGTGGATTTCAAGACTGGATTCGTCGTCCCCAACGCTACCGCCGTCGACCCCAACACCCTCGTCGGACCTCTGGCGAACTACCTCTTCGCCACCCTCAACTTTGAATTCTTGGCTGAGGGCTACTACGACCTCCCCAAGAAAGTCCCCGAGGACCTGTTGATTCCCTTTGGCCAGTTCGTCCAAAAGTATAACCTGACCGACGCTGTCCCGGTAGTCTGGATCTTCGCCAACGGTGTCGGCAACCTTCTCGAGACCCCGACGATCTATGTCTTGCAGAATTTCGGCCAGGCCCAAATTAATGGCCTCGCAGCCGGCTATAAGTACGCCCTTGGAGGCAACCAGCAGGTCTACGACAGGGCTGCCGCTTTCCTCGGAAGCGACGTCTTATTTTCCAGCACTGTCGTTGCATCCAAGCGCACTGATGATGGCGTCAAGGCCGTTGTTGCCACCCCCACGGGACGCAAGCTCATCAAAGCCAAGAAGCTCCTCATCACTATTCCCCCTACCGTCAAGAACCTCGCGCCCTTCGACCTCAACGACCATGAGATTTCCCTCTTCAAGCAGTGGAAAAACGTTCCGTACTTTGTTGGAGTTATTAATGACACTGGTCTTCCTGACCTGACCAACTTCGACAACGTCGATATCACCGCGCCTGATGCCCTTCCGTCAGCGCCCTTCGTCTGGCGTCTGGAGACTGTTGGCATCCCCGGCTACCAGGTCGTCAAGGTCATCGGCGAGGCTGACTCCACCAAGGCTCAAGCCTTGGTCATCGACGCCGTCCGCAAGGTTGGAGCTTCGTTAAACAGTACCTCTGCCACTGGTGTCAATTTCGTTGCGTGGCAGGAGCACGCGGACCTCGGGCTCCAAGTCTCAACAGAGTCTATCGCGGGTGGGTTCTACGGCGACTTGTACGACCTTCAGGGTAAAAGAAGCACATTGTTCACCGGCAATGCTTGGTGCTCTGACTATTCTCCCTTGCTCTGGCATTACACGGAGGAGAGAGTTCTTTCCCATCTGTAAAGGTGAACTTGTTCATATAGCAGCGTAATTAGTAATCGGACACATACTGCTACGAACAAAAAATATGATTGAATCATGTCTCGCCTTTCTGAACACTAACAGTGACTCTTGATATCTCGACATCTTGATGTACCTTGGCTACTTGCAAATAATCCATTTAATGCCGAGCTTTGTAATATTTGAGTATTACCAAACATCACTGTATGTGATGCGGTGGCTTCCCTTAGACGTGATGTTGAGAGCTTCGGACTGAGTAGGAAGACGCCGTTGCATAATTAATTTATGAAATAATGACGTAGAACCTCAGGGTATACCCAATTTTTATCACCATGTCAGTTTTTGGAGTGAACGAACGGTCCTACAGTCTTGGCATTCAAGTTTACAAGCCTTCGCTTCGATCTTCATCCTTTTGTTAGCTTCAAAGTTCAAACACAACTCGTGAATGTTGCTTCGGTATATCGATAATCAAAGGTCAGTTCTCAGTTTCCTCTACAAGTACGAATCCTCGGGTTCAAATTGGTATTGGTATTACGAATACTGAATGAGATATTGACGGGAATTGCATGTGGAATGCCCCGTGAGAAGAGATACGCTTACTTCGGTGCTCTAAAATTCCATGCCGCTGTGTACCTCAAAAGGTGACACCAATCATAGATACTTGGGTCATGAGACGAATATTATCTTTTGGCTTAATCCCATACATGGCTAAAGGAAACATCAGAAATCTTCGAGTTGCATGCCCAGTAACTTGTACATGCATACCTCAGTGTGCGCGTGAGATGTGCCCTTCTTCTCGGCCAGGTCTTTAGTCCACATTGTAGATGCACTGGCCGCGCACCCGAGGAACTCGCCGTGATGCTTGGGTATAAAAGAGTTCTTCTTGAGGCACTAGACTACAACCACTCGTTCGATTTGAAGGCTGACAATAGCACCAAGAACAAGTGCAGGCGTCAAGCTCTCCTCTACTCCACTTTTGAGACGTGCCGGGGGTGGTTGAGGTCCCACTCCAAAGAGGTATCTTGAGGTACTGCCTGGTCACGGGGCGATAAGAAGAAGCCTGCCAGAAATCCAAAAGGGACGATTATCTGAATAGTAATGCCGGACACACACAGACTCGAATGGAGAGACGAAGAACTGAGGGCCCGAAGCAACGAGTTGCTGTTCCCTGTGATCTGTCCTTAATCATGGAACATAGTTCTTGGCACGAAGACCACTTCAGTCTCATTCCAGCATGTAAGGCATGCAGTCCAGGAGAGTGAGGAGACAAAGGAGGCGCTGAGTCGCATGATGGCACTTGACTGGGCCTGGTCATGCAACGTGGGAAAACATCAAGGCTGAGGTGATCTTGGCAGTCGGCCTTTCTCCGAGGGGTCGGCCTCTGGTTTTACGATTAGTCGGCGGCGTTGCGGACAAGCCCGTCGCCGGACTCCGTGAATCGGCCGACACAGTGCTGTGGGAACCTCAGAACATATGACCAATGGAAATATCGGGGGCCGCCTCAGGTCGGCCTTTGGAGGCGTTTCATTGGCTATTACGCACAAGGCCGCGCTTAATCCTTGAAGTATCAAGTCGCGAATACACAAGCTGCCAAGACACCCTGTCAGAAGTTTGGGTGGCACGGTGGCACGTGGGTGGGTTAAGCTTGGTCGCTGAATATTCCGTGATCCGCAGGGGCCGGTTCCCCGAATGAGCCTATTTTGGACGTACCCAGCGGGCTAGAAGGATTGCCCGAGTCAGCAGACATTCTGCTGGCATTTTGTGGTGTAAGCGAGGAAGCAGGCTGTTGTTTCACCCCTCCGCAAACGGAAGCTACCAATATTTTGTTTCGGGTAGCATTTAATTGGGAAACCTCACAAGACGAACATACGTTCTTTAGCAGTCAGGATGTGATTCCATCGAAGGTGAATTGAGCACAATATGTGTTTTTAGGCAGTCATCTAGACGGCAAGATGGCCATTCACATTACTTAGAGGTGGAGTACGTCGATGCGTTAAGTGAGACTCCCCTATATACGTCTTCTGACTTCTGCAAGTCCCACATCACTCGTCACTCAAAATAACTTGTTATAAACCCACTTTACAGCATGTCAGTTTTAACATGGGCAGTCTAAACACGGGGCTCTCGAGCCAGTCAGTCAGCATGACTGAGTGTGTGGGGGGGACGTGACGGGGCGAATTGCCAAGAAACAATGCACTAAGTGACTGGATTTGACATGTCCAGCTTTGCACAGCTTAGCCAAGGAGTATCGTCGGCCTTGATTTGGATGACCGAGCCGCAGCACACTAGGATAACGTGGGGATAGTGTTTGGTCAATCAATATGAAGTTCATGGAGCCACTCAATCGAAGGGTGTTTGGACGTCACAAGCAGTCGAAACCCGCTCCGGGAGTCCGGTCATGATGCTGACCTTGCCTTCTTCGCCTTATAGGGCCTTCAATAAGGCCTTCAAACTTTCCCCCTGAATATTCACTGCCCCCAATACGGAGCCTTGAACGTCAAAATCAGACAGGTCTCAATCTCGTGAGGCTTGGTCCATCATCGTGGCCTGGGGACTGGTTGGCCTCCACCGGGGTTTCATACGTTAGTACGGTAAGGGGACTCCTCCAGCCCTGGTAACAGTGGGCCCCGGCTCGCAGTAAGATATGAATTCCCTAGGGAGATGTACTGCCACTCACGACCCTCAACTTGATCAGGCCGACACAAGGAATTGAAGAACTTTTTTTGATTGCTATTCTTAACGTGAGACGAGGATTGTCAATATCCAGCTGCTTGGCAGGCGCAATTCGATCTTCAAGACATCTTACACGCAGAACGTCATCAGATATCCAAGTATAAAGAGCAAGCGTTGCTTGCTTCCAAAGCTATCTTTCTTCTTCATCCATCGCATCACTCTCATTCTACTTATCCAGACTTAACTTTCATCTGCTTCACAGCTCACTCACATCCAATTTTCATTCATTTGATTCCCAATTATCACAATGGTTTCTTTCAAGGTCTCCAATATCGTGGCCCTCGCCGCTGCCGTTGCCGCCGCACCCACTGAGCTCCTCCAGTCCCGCGCTGTTGTGGCACACGACTCCATCAGCCCCGTCGCTCAAAGAATTCAGACTGGCGGCCTCGGCAAAATCATCGAGACCTTCAACCCCCTCCTTCACATCGCCCACGGTTGCCAGCCGTACCCCGCCGTCGCCGACAATGGCGACACCAGCGGAGGGCTCCAGGACACCGGCAGCTCTACCGGTGGCTGCCGCGACCAGGCCAAGGGTCAGACTTATGCCCGCGCCGGCACAGTCGACGGCAAGACGGTCATCATGTACTCTTGGTACTTCCCTAAGGACCATCCCAACAGCGGCGATGTCGCCGGAGGCCATCGCCACGACTGGGAGAACATTGTCCTCCAGGTTGACGACCCGGCCGCGGCTACCCCCAAGATCATTGGTGGAGCAGCCTCCAGCCACAGCGGCTACAGAAAGGCCGACGGGGCTCCTCCTATGGACGGCAACAGCCCCAAAGTCGAATACTTCACCAGCTTTCCTACCAACCACGAGCTCCAGTTCACCGATACCATTGGCAAGACCTATCCCATCTCCGACTGGGACGCTCTGCCTGCCGCCGCCAAGACTGCTCTTCAGGACACCGACTTTGGAAAGGCCAACGTTCCTTTCAAGGATGGCAGCTTCGAGAGCAAGGTCCGCGAGGCTCTCGAATAGATAGGCATTGCACCCATGGCACGACAACTTCATGGTTGTCTCTTAACGTTTATGAGTGTTTTTTTTTGGTCGACCATTGTTGCGATTTTCGGGTTATGTTGTTTCTGATTAGCTATTCCTGGTTTATCTTTCCAATACTACGAGCCTGGTCTTTTTCCATTCACAATTTTGAATTCGCTCTTCTTGCCTTACTGCCAGTGACTTGCTATGGGATACTGAACGCTAATCTCTGGATCAAGAGGGTGAGTTATGCTAAGGATTGACTCCTTCAAGTTCTTGAATACAATTTCCCTCATCACTGATTCGACGAAGTGTGTTTTGATTTCCTTGCTTGAGATGCGCTGTCTCTAAATGGTCAACACCATGTGTCGGTTAGGTCAAAGGCTAATATATTGCCAGCAGCTGTCTCTGTTCTCCTTTAGTTTCCGCCCTGCGCATGAGACGCGGGATGGCCCGACCTCTCGTTTTAGATCCCCATAGCACATGGAACTTCGAACGCCAAGACCCGTTATCTTGCCGATCTCAGACGGGAGGCGATTGACTTCACAAGGATGTTTTTAGTTGATTTTATTTCTGGACGTAACGCCCGATAGTTGAGACCAAGCATGAGCTGTATGATAGAAGGCTACACCAACTCGTTTGCTGATACAAGATTGAGTCAGTGTAAGAAAATCATCGACTCTCCAGAGGCATCAAGAAAAGCGTTTCCATCGAGAAATTTAGATGTTCTTCCGTCTCATAGTCTGTCTGGTTCACGCTTCATTGCAGCCTCCAGTCACAATCTCCGAGCCGCTATGGTTGGATGTTATATGAGGAGATTATCAAACTCGATGTTTCCTACAGTTGAATTTAGGTTCGTAGCTGCTCAGTAGTAAGATCAATCTTCCTGTTTATTGAGAGTAAGTGAATAAGTACGATCGGATCTGACACGTGTTCCGGGAAATAATGACGCTGCATTTCCAGCGAGCCAGTCACTCCTGTCATCCCATCTTCGGGTAGACGTGTGATTTCTCTATTGCATTACTTCACCACCCGTTTGAAAGCACACGGGCATTAAATTCGATGCATTCGCTTCCTATCATCCCTCAAATTGTCAAAACGACCAATGGCAACGTGATGATCCATCAAGCCGCCGTTTTCATTAGCACTCTCTTCCTCCTCTAGGCCGGGGCCGACAAGTTTGTGGACCACGCAGCCATCGTCGCCTGGCGCACCGCATCCAGGACACTCCCATCGCCCTAATCGCAGCCGGTGCCGAGTTTGAAGAGGTGAGCCCCTGGTATCTCTACATACTCTCAACCACGACATGTGTCCTAAGAATAATCTCGGTTGACAAACATCTCTACCTCGCCACCATGATCACCAGTGCGCTGGCGCAAGGCCGCGCCTCGCTCGCTCTGGGCAATATTGTCGCATTTGGAGCCTATCTACTCTCGATAGTCTGGGCAATTAGCCGAGGAACGCTGGTTCCTCCGGAGGCGTCAGACAGCGATAGCTCCAGCGACTCAGAAGACTCGGACTCTTCTGATTCTTCGTCCACTACTTGGCGAGAGACCAGCTGCGCTATTACATCGCAGCCTGGCCCAGAGATAAACGCCGGAGAGAAACAGCCTGTGCTCCGTCCCTCGGAACGATTTTTGCGCCGCCGCCGCCTCGGGTTGACGTACCACATCGCCTACCTCTTTGCCGGCTTCCTCGCCATCTGCCTGTCAGGTTACATCCTCTCCATGCAGCAACCCAAATCGCCGATGTCCTCGTCGCCTCCGAAATCCTCTTCGGATTTCTCTCCATCGGCACAATATTGCCAGAAAAGTTCATCGCCGTGCTCAGCCGCCGTGGCGGGCACGGCGGCATCCTCGTCGCCAACACGGTTGGCAGCAACGTCTTTTTGCGCGCGGTCCGCTTGGGTATCGTCCTGGTGAGCGCGGAAGGGACCCTGGGGAGTGCCGGGAGCGTTTTGGTTGCCGACTTGGCTGTTATTTGGGTTAGTACTATGGTTGAGTGGTCGTACTCAATCCTTGGTGGGTGGCATTATTTCAAGTGCTTATGTCGGCTTCATTATCGCAGAGTTCACCGTCTTGCCAAGAACCAGAGACCCATAGACCGAACCATACTCCCCCCGCCGTCTGCAAGCGGTTTTGTCTTTGTGATGGAACCTCCTACAGAGAACTTGTTCGAAGATGTCTGTTCAAGTCATGTCTTCCACATGGCTCCAGAAAAGCACAGATGATATCCGCTTGGCCGAATCCGAAGCGTCTCTAAATCAGTCATCGTTCCATGCTAGCAACGATGCAGACCATCGTTGTAGTGAGGTGGAATGACCTATTTGATTTGTCAGTTTCCAGCTTGGAAGGGGGTCTAGAGGACTCTTGGGATATGCACTTCAGGCAAAACGTGACTCGGCGTAACCATCGTCACTTCTCAAATGTTAGCCTTTACCCCTCCCATGATGCATATTCCGTCACTGCCCATTAGTTATATTTGAGTGACGAGCGTGCTCACACTGCAACACAACCAAGCCGGTTGAATTCTATAAAAATGATGAAGAGTGACTCGGAGCTCCTTGGCCAATTCCGCCGAATCCAGGAATGACTTCATCCGACAAAACATGTCCTCCATGTCGGTGTGAGACTATGACAACTCACGCAAGTCATTGATCTTAGACTCCAATCATCGCTGACAAAAGGTCTGTAACCGAATCTCGACGTGTGAGGTTACCTCAACGTAGCTTTGGCACTTTCTATATATATGAAGACCCGGCAAATCTCTGCAAGTGAACATCCGGTTGGTCCTAGACGGGCCCATCTTGGCACCCGCCCATTTGAAAATTTCCCCAACTTGGTGTTTGGCATTTCGGCAAATTTCCGTTCGTGGTCATCTCCACATCTACCAAGACAGATAGATACACCTTTGGAAGATCATGGATAGAATAGGCAATAGGCTAAATCCCCGCAAACTCGGTAGTTGCTGATAGGACTATCAAACATGTGCTCGTTTTTTCATCAACTTTAGTTGCAGGTGGTAGTTGAGTTCATAGAACTGACGGTTACGCCTCAAGTCTCTCGGGTATATAGTATAAGCAGGACGACATTGAAACCCGTCCCTTACACAAACCTCACCTCAAGTCATCAATCAGCCATTCACCCACTAAACCAAACATTCAAAGACAGAAACCATGAAATCCATCATCATCGCAGCCGCCGTCTCGGGTGCCCTCGCCTCCCTCAATTGTACCGCTACGGCCGAGGTCAAGACCTACTGCTGCCCGGACACCAAGTCCGAGCTCGTCAAGACCGGTCCCGCGGGCGCCCTCATCATGATGGGCTGCGCCGCCGACAACACCAATAAGTAGACGTCACCTCCCATGCCATTCATTCTCCCAGAGAAGTAACGAGAAAACAAGGAACTGGTACTGGAACTACAACGGCCTCTACACCGCCTACTCAACCCAATTCAAAGACTGCTATCTCAACACCATCCCCTTCAACGACCTCAAAGGTACGTAAGACTTCTCAAATCCAATATCTGCCGGCTTTCCCTCCCCCACCAATAATAACCACTCCCTGACACCCGGCCCACGGCGTTATAGTCCTCCCCGACTGCAAGGACGACACGTACGTCCTCGACCTTACCCGCGGCAAGTCCGGGCCGCTTGACAAGTGTAACCCCAACTGCGTCAGCCAGACTAAGTTTCCCGCCAACACTTACTTTGGTGATCGCCAAACGGAGACCAATATGGCGTCTGACTTTCCCCGTCCCAATCCCAACCCGGGATGGCCTTGGGGTCGTAGAGAACACAGGGTCTAGAATCTGGTGGCTTTCACTCTTGGGAAACAATGTTTCTTGTTTACAAGATGTTGCAGTATTGCAGAGTTCATCCGGTCAATCGTAGTCTGAGACTTTCGATAGCATGATACAATCTTGCAGGGAATTAAAGTCGATCTTACAGACTATCCAGCCTCTAATCCAAGTAAAGTGATGTCCAAAGACGGGGAATATCCAAGTAACACACCGCCATACCGATACGGCAAATCCAAACACAAAGGTATCAAAGACATTACGTCGGAAAATCCAAATTACCACCACCACCACCATCCAGATTACTAATGCGCCGTCGAACTCTCGCCCCCACCGTGGTGCCCCGGCTTCAACATCTCCTTCAGACTGCTCGGGTCCTCCAACGCATCCAACGCCTTCTGCGTCGTGCTCTTTACGGGCGGGCCGTCGTACCCAGCTTCGTCCATGTGCTCGAGTGCGCTCTCGTTGGAGCTCAGGGAGCTCGAGCTGGGGCTCCGCGCCACCATGTTGATCATCTTGCCCTCCTTCTTCTTGGCCTCCACCTGCTCCTTCTTAAGCTTCTGCAGCTTCTCGTCCTCGCAGTGCATCACGACGATGCCGAGCCCGGGGAAGTTAGCCTCGAGGAACTCTTTGAGCTTGGGCAGGATCGACTTGTCCGGCCGATAGGTGCCCGAATCGTTGTCGATGTAGAGCTGATAGTAGGACGGGTTGTGCGGCGGGTGGTCGTTGGGCGGGCCGTTGGGCAGCTCTTCCGTCGGGTGCGTCCTCTCTGGAGGATCCGGTTCCTCTGACGCGTCCGGATTCTCGAGCCGCCGGATAAAGAACTCGCCCGAGCAGGCGATGTAGGTCTCGACGTCGCTGTGCATGGTGTGCTTGCTCAGCATGTCGATGCTGAACTCCTTTCCGGTCTCGGTGAAGCGGAACATGCCGTCCAGCGTCAGGACATAGGTGAAGATGCGGCCGCCCTGGTCAAAGTGCACCAGCTTGAGGAATTGGAGAGCGGCCTCCTCCGAGCGGGCCTTGAAGACACCGTACTCGGTCGAGCTGTCAAAGTTGTATACCCTGCTGTGCTGCTTGTGCAGTGCCTTGTTGAGAATCCTGCCCCTCAGGCCGCTCTTGGCGAACATTAATCCAATCATGGGTCGGAACTCGACGTATCGGTGGTACAACTCGGGAGGGACGGGCCCGGAGAGCTGCATCTCGTTGGATTGGAAGCTAATATGACCGTTAATAAGTGTGCTTGGTGTGTGACACTGTTGGTGAACCTACTCGTATTTCTGAGTTTTGTTGTCCTTCTCCTTATTTTCGGACTCATCAAACAAGTCGGCCCGGGCGTCGTTTTCCTCATCCTTATTCACCTTGATACCGGTGAGACGTCCAATCATCGGACTAAAGTGCTTGAAATACGTGGTAGGCCCGATGGTGCACATCTGCGCATGCGGCGGGTCGGATTGTCCCAAGAGCTCCATACTAATCCATACCCTTGGCGACATATCGGCTCGCGGATCAAAATGGCTGGTGATTGCCTTGACAAAGTAGGCTCGCTTGCTGCCCATGCGCTTCTTGGCGGTGAACTCCTGGCCCGGGCGCGGGTAGCCCTTCCAGTCCGGACCAATGTGCGGCACCCTGACGGTGACGTTACCGAGGCGATCGTCGTGATCGGGCCAGTCCTCATCGTAGAGCCGGCATTTGAGGATGAAGCCGTCGGCGGGGACGTTAGCCACCACCCACTCGGCATCCCATACGGGCTCCGTCGTCTTCCTGATGGTCTGGGTGCGGAGGGTGAGATCAGGGTCTTCCTTGTGGCGTTTTGGTACCGCCGCTCGAAGGGTGACATGGATGAAAGGGTCGGACGACTGGGTGCCAATGTCCGCCGCGGGGAGGTTGGTCGCCTTGTGGAAGATGAACCTCACGGTGTAGCCCGGAGGCGCATCGGGTAGAGGCGTCGGGTCGAAGCCTCCGGAAGGCTTGGTCTTGTCCTTGACTTTTTCTTTCCCTTCGGAGTAGAGTCCCTTGAGATCACTAGAGTGGTGATGGGACTTCTCGTCAGGCGGCTTGTGACCGTTAGCTTCCGGGTTCTGTACGCCCTCAATCTTGTTCTCGAGGGCTCCCTCTCCATGCTCGGGCTCATCCCCCTTGGTTGACGGCCCACCGTTTGTTGATGGTGCAGTGCCATCATTGATTTGATCGTCGGCGGCGGCGGTGCCGTTGGGCGACGAGTGCCCGTTCAGATCCGGCGCATCGTTGGCATGTCCATTGGGGGGCGGCACATGGCTTGCGCCATTGGGCGGTTGTCCGTTTGTCGAGGGACCATCAGCTGCGGTGCCATTAGCCGTGTGACCATTGACGTTCTCAATCGGTTCAGAAGATGTCGCGGGTTGCGCAGCGCCGAGGTCGGTCGGAGGCGCCTCCGACGTTGCGGCCGTCGCGGTGGAAGCTGCGGGGGCGTTGGACGGGTCGGCAGGGGCATGTGGATGCCCGTTGAGCCTTTGTTCGTCGGCGGTCGACATGCTTAGGATAACAGTAGTGTGCGACCGGAATAAGAAATACTTCGAATGATACTACGGAAGAATGTCTGCGATAGCGAAGGCGACAGCGGACGTGGTAGAAGTCGCCTGGAGAGAGCTTGGAGGGGCGCGTCGGGAGGCCGGAGGAGGCGTAAGGAACCCCGGCAAGCGTTGGCTGGATTGGCGAGAGAGATGTCTCGTGTATCTCTGTAGGGCGCAGATGGAGCGAGAAGAATAGCGGGAGATCCGTTAAGGAAAAAACCCTGCAGCGCCGTGGTGGCCGTTGCCAAGATCCAACAGTGTCGATCACTCGTGGAGGGGCACCGCTGCTCTCAGTGTGAGTGCAAGCTGCTCGAGCACTCACTGACTCACTGCTGGGCTGAGCTGAGCTGAACCGGGACTGAGTTTTGGGAGCTGTGTCCAATAATGTCTGTTGGTGGATCACAGGAAGCTTGGCATGGGGTCCGTGTTGTCCGCCTGCAAAGGAAAAAAGAAGCTTTGGCGGCGGGCGGGAGGATCGGTTTGTTGGTTGAAAGCGCGCTGGTTGACGCAGTGAATCGCTTGCTGGACGAGGAATGGACGGCGCTTAGCTCTGTTCCGATTGAAGCAATGATGGGTATATAGTGAGCAGGCAGAGGGTAAAGCTCAGCAACACAGACGGAGAGGTACGGCTAGATGGAGAGTTGTTTGGAGGGAAAAGAGAGAGAAGAAGCTCTGGAATGGGAGGTAACCAGATGGAGGACATACAGACGATGCGAGGGGCTGGGGGGGTAACAGAGACGGGGTCCGAGGGAAATCACAGGCCGCAGTCAAAACCATCAAATTGCACACTTTGGGTTAGACGCAATGCTAAGAATTACCTTACCTTACGGACTGGGTACTAATGTACGCTAGAGACTAGGACTCGGTTGGAAAGCAAGGGACCCTGCCACCCTGGAGAAGACAGACACACACAGAGAGAGAAAAAGAGAGAGAGAGACCGAGAGATACAGCCGTTTACAAGCGCACAAGATAGAACGAAAAACATCCCACCACACCCACCCACTCAGCAAGAGGAAGATACGGAACCCATACATAGAGACAGACACAGGACAGGATCAACAAGGCGTCGCAAGCAACATGCAACTGACGCCTCCCCCCTGACGTCATGGCCCGTCAAGATTTGGCATCGAGGTGCGGCTAGAAGATGCCGAAGCCGGGGTCACGCTGCCCAGCCCAGCCAATGTCGCGCCCCCAATCCGGCCAGACTTGCTTAACAGTGGTGGTAAGCTGCCAGTGGTTCCCTGTTTGGCTTCCAATGTTTCCACTCTCCGCCAGCCCATGGCCGGGATGCTACCGCCAGCAGCGCAGCGTTTCACCATCACGAGCCTTTTCCAACTTTTCCTTCTCCATTACACCACCTCTTTCATTTCCCTTGCCGTGCACCTTACGAGTTACGGCAAATACGTAAGAATTCAAGCCTATGCGCAGATCTTCTGTGGGGGAATGATGGCTGCGCTGCCAATCCCCAAGATAGCGTAAACAAGCGTGAACAAGGTCTCGGTCTCACCAGCTTGCCGGCCGCCCGTTTTTTCTGAGCCCTGCCAAGATTAGGGCCACTTGATTAGCTGATATGATCTGCGCATTGGGAACCTTAACATCAAGATACGACCCTCCGCTCCGATTGTCTCCGCGCTACTCCACTAAAACCCGGCAATGCCACCCCGCTCCGCTCCGAGTCCAAGTTGACGACGACTACCCATCTCACCTAGGAGAGACTTCTGTCGTCCATCGTTGAACGAACTACTGCCGTTTTTGTTCTCTGTGTATTGATTGCGGAGTGCCATCTATCGACATGTCGAATATACATTGGACCTCTAGAACATTGATTTTATGTGCGACCAATACAAGTCCCATTGATGGGATGGATTTTTCAAATGGACTTGCGCATAAGAACTCCAGATCTATAGAAGTCTGTCTAGATTTCCTAGTATTATTGATTTCATCAAATCAAACATGAGGCATTGTTCTTTTGCTTGCGTCTCTATGGAAGACCATCCCTTACTAGCCCCGGCGTAAACCTGAGGTACGACAGACTACCTCTCCTACATTCCATCCGCCTTCACCTCAGCTCTGTTTGGGTTCCAACCCAAAAAGAGGTGAATGTATATGCTCTCATAAATGTGAATGAATGCCTAGATCCCGTCCCGTCCTTTCCCCTAATCGCTGCCTGAGTACTACCTTTGAAGCTTCCGCCTACGTCAAGGTCATTCTGCCTGTTCAGCCCTCGCCGGGGACACCAGCCCACGATGCCTTTCACGTATTTGAGAGGAATTGAAAATCTCTTCATCTTTCCAACTTTTCAACAAACCTTCCCATATCCTCATCAAGAGGTCCATACCAGAAAGCGCTTCTTTGTCCGTCTTCCGCCATAGCGACAACATCAAGGACAAGAGAGACAAAAGATGGATCCCTACTATGACGGTAAGTTTGCGATGGTATTTTCCACCGGCCTCGAGATGTTTCGGGCTCCCCAGGGATTCTGACCAAGAGCCTTGGCTCACCTCCGGGGCCTCGGTCAAGCCCCAGCTCCCGATCCCCTTCCTCACAGCTTTACTGCAGAACGCCAGTCTTCCAGCCCAACCAAACACAAGGCACAAGCCTACTGATATTCTCGAGTGCATGAAAGTTGCTGACCATGTATGATAGACGAGCACCAGCGCAAGCTCTACTGGGATGAGAGCACTCGAATGGCCGGCACCGTTCAGTACGTGCCGTAAGTATTCCCCTGAGCCTTCCTATTTACCATGTCTTTTTCTTCCTGTTTTCCTCTTCTAACCCGGCACGTACAGGGCTGACCAAGCCTACCCTGAAGGCTATCTGGGGCTCACGGTCAATGACTCGGAACCCTGGCGTCGAACCGACAACGAGTACCCCAGACCCATTCACCAGAGACAGGGTGCTTTTGCCATCCAAACGACTCGTAACGCTCAAGAGGAACCCGGTATCCACCAGAGCGAGCCCAATGCTACCGAGGGCGGTGACCAATATGACATCGAACCCGAGCCCCAGATCATCGAATACCTGCAGGACGGCTATACGGACATGCAGTCAGTCGACTCCGGCTCCATGCAACAGTTGACTGGTGCTGGCCAAATTCTTGTGGACTTTGGTGTCGACCCGGCCCTCGACCCTTCTCCCGAGTACGGCGATCCTCTTGGATTCGTTGATCAGGGCGTGGAACAAGAGCTCTACAACGGACAGGAGCTCGAGCAATACCCACATGAGAATGTGGCGGAGGCGAAAGAGCAGCAGCAGCAGCAGCAGGGAGAGGAGGAGGATGAGGAGAACACTAGTGAGGTCATCTCTTCGGGCCCGGCTGCGCCTGCGATCCCTCAAATCGCCGCCAGTGTTCAGGTGTCTCAGGCCAGGTCCACCAAGCAATCTCACAACGCAACCATCCCCGGCGTCCAGTATAACGATGGAAGTCCCGATCCGACCCCTGGCGTTCCTGGCCTGGCCTTAGTCCCCGCCGAAGACCCCTGCCGCCGGGAAACGGTGGTGATCGACGGGAAGGAGAAAATTCGCGTCAGATGCAACAGATGCCGCAAGGCTTTTTCGCGCGTCGATGAGGCCAGATGGCACCTTCGGTTCGAACACTATGGACAGTACTACCTACCCAGAGGCTGTCACATAGTCAAGGGACGAGAGCAAGCTTTGATCGATTGCCCTTGAGTCGGATGAGTCTGATATGCCAGCATGGGACGCTCGTGGGGGAGTCGAGATGGGAGGCCGTTAACAACTCAGGATGGAAACGTCTGAACCAGGAGAGATACCCTCATATTAAAGACAAACAGGAGTTCCGGAGTGAATTAAGGAGGAAAGGGTAATCGAAGATCCGCAGAGTTGATCCTTTTTCGGCAAGGGATGAACAAAATAGGCCGACGGAATCAGAGAAGAACAAGTACCCTGACATATCAATGGAGGCAAGACTTTTGACGGAATAGATTCGTCTGATCCTTCTCTTTATCTCTTGTGGATCATCGGTGACATGTAATCTGGGGATACTTATGTGAGTTCGTCTTTTCAGCGCATCTCATCCACCCTGAGATCAAGGGAGGTAAGTCAAAAGAGATGAATCAAGCTGGTCAGGAGAATATAAGAAGGGAAATCAACGCCATTGCCTTTGCGTCAGAAATTCAGATGAACGTCAGATTCTTATTCTTAAAAGGAATGAGAGCTAGGATGACGGCATGGTGATAGTAGGAGGTCCGGTCAATGACACCGTCAGTTAACATGCCAACAGAGCCCTTGGACTGTTTGTTGTTCGTCTGACCAAAGATCAAATCATCCGCATGTCCCAATTCCATGCCCTGACGTAGGTAAGTAGCGGATTCCTCGGGGAGGTAGTACGCGCCCGTCCGCGCCTTTCCGACCCGTCCGTCGCGGCTGATGACGACGATCCAGGCAAAGTTCATGATTGGGGCATCTTGGTCGCTCGGCATGTCGATGCCGCCCTCGAGGCCGATCCAGTAGTCTGCGTCCTTCTCGACCTCCTGGGCGTTGCGTGCCCTGTTTAGGGCCCCGCGGAGGGTCTCCTCGTCAGATAGCGGCTGGTCCGGGACGCCGGAGGGGACGCTGATACCCCGGACATCGTAGGTGGCATCAGGGAGGGCCGACTCAAAGCCGAGTTTTGCTGCTTGGACTTTGACTGGGTTTTTGGAGGCGACGACGATTGAGATGGTGGGGTTTGTCATGTTTGCAGTGGCGTTGTAGTTTTGTGGGGTTGCTTGAAAGATATCGCGGCTGAGATGCTGGGCGGCATAGGGTCACTGTTGAAAAGCAAAATACAGATAGGTAGCTGTGCTAATATACTCGCATCTGGATGAGTGAGGCTACCATTGAGCTTGTTATAAGATATCTAGAGCTGAGGCTAAAGACAATGAGTCATCCGGGGAACACCTGGTGGAGCGAATGCTGTGGTTAGTGGTTGCATTCCGCTGAGACTAAATGTGCATGTCCCTTCCCGTTTATTTGGTGGACTCTGGCTGTGTTCGGTGTTCCATTTCATTGCCGGAGACGGGAAGGTCACAGGCACCCTGGCGTTAGGTAATTGGAGTGGGCCAGAATCAAAGTTAAGGGGTAGCACGCTGCACGGGCCAGGGATCCCACAGGGCTGGGCCGACTGAACCAGCGGCCCAGCGCCGATGCCCCCTGAGGTAAGTTGTATTAGATAAGCAGATTTGAAGTGAGCTAGCTAGAGGGGATGACGGGGCGGGAGAGCCGAGAGACAGACAGATGGGATTTAGGCCCTTGGGGGCATCCATGGATCTCACCACTGCGCCAAGGGCCATGCGACAGGTGGCACTATGCCCAAGTTGCAGCGACGGGATTGGCGGCAGCCATAAGGCCTCGTCTGACGACCCCTGCACCGTGGGCCGACCAAATGTCCCTTCTCGAACCCCCCCGGTCGTCTCTCTCCGAATTCCCCCCTCCTCGTCGGTGACTTTTGGGAGGGTTTCTATCCCCGGCACGCTTAGAAAACCAAAAAAGCTGACAGAACGCGGTTTTCGTCCGAGGTTTCGCATCCTCCTTTTCTCAGAAGATTCGCGGGACGCCTGGAGCTCTTCCTTCTCTTCAGTCCTTTCCGCAACGTTTCCGCAACACACAGCGTCGCCACTTTGTCTTTTGATATTCCTTGCCTCCCGCGCATATCTTGCGCATACTTGTTCTCTCAGAGGGAAGCGACAGTTGATAGCCCAACATGGCGCGGCGACAGCACCTCACGCTCATGGTCGTCCTGGCCGTCGTAGCCTTCTTCAGCGTCTCCTACCTCTTCTCGAGTGGCACCAGAGAACCCTCAACACCCGCGCCCCCCGCCGCCGCCGTACCCCTGAAGGACGATAACGTATCGTCGAGCGGTGATATCCCCGATCTTGGCCACATATCGAGCAGCATTCTGTCCGGCGAGTCCATTGCGCCCAAGTTGGAGAATGCCACGGCAAAGTAAGCCTCCCGCCCTCTGCATGATGCGAGCCCACCTCCCGGGCCGTCCCCTCGGGTCCCTTACCAGGTCTCCTCTGGTGGCGGACAATGTATAGACCTCAAGGTTGTGCTAACGCGTCTCTCGCCCGCAGAGCCGAGCTCGGCCGTGCCTCGTGGAAGCTCTTCCACACCATGATGGCGCGCTTCCCCGAGAAGCCCACCCCTGACGACAGCCTCGCCCTCAAGACGTACATCCAGCTCTTCGCCCGCCTCTACCCCTGCGGTGACTGCGCCTCCCACTTCCGCAAGCTGCTGGCCAAATACCCGCCTCAGACGAGCAGCCGCAATGGCGCCGCCGGCTGGGCCTGCTTCGTCCACAACGAGGTCAACACCCGCTTAAAGAAGGATCTGTTTGATTGTAACAAGATTGGCGACTTTTACGACTGCGGGTGCGGCGACGAGGATAAGAAGAAGGCTGAGGGTGGCGATAAGCCCAGTGCTGAACTGGCGAAGGACGGGTGAGTTTGCTCGCGCGCGGTTCTGGGAATCGCGACGTCACGTAAGGTTATAGTTGCTGATTTTCTTTTTCTTGTGCAGTCTGACCAAGGGAGGCTAAGGTGCTGATCTATTGGCGTTTTTTGAATACCCGGGCGCATGAGCATTGTAACATATCTGCAAGATTTTCTGTACCAAGAAGGATATCTCTCCTGGTCCGGCGTTGTGGATTACGACCGGCAGAATGGACATGTTGAAATTAGACAGTTGGTAAATTTTGCTTCGCCTTCAATTCAGGGCAGAAGACTCGACATGGGACAGTGATCATGATCGCGCCAATTTTCACATGCAGTGTCTGCTTTATGGCAATCTTAGAAGCTGATGTCCTCAAGTGGGGCTACTTGTATCTACTAGAGAATGATGTCGTAGAGCTAGTGACATGATGATGTTGCGCTTTCAATCCGGCAGCCAAAAGTATCAGCTCATGCATGAATCCATTACCTTGGCACGGAAACTCCTAATAGTCCTTAATTGAATTCCAACCGTTTCAGTGGCTTGATTTACGCAGATGCCAATATGGTCATGATCGGATATATAGATTATGTCATCAGTCACGTGACAGTATCCAGGCGTCTCGGGCGGGCAAGGCCAACGCGTTCTGGAGCTGCCTGAGCTTCGTCAAGCTCCAGCCTTCCGCCGACGACACATCAAACCAAAGCCACACCCTCCATATCGACGCCGAAATCTCTCCCCGCCCACGTTCTCCAATTATCGACGAACCGAGTATCTGAAAAAAAGGTTCAACAGTCACACAAAACAAGTCATCGAAAATGGAGTTCACCACCACCGGAATGCTGAACGAAGGTATGGACGGGCAGGAGCTTGGATGATGCTATCGCGGAACCACCCCATAGAGGGATCATTGAAGCTGACGATTGCGGGCGGATAGACGGCATTCACCTTGACATGGAGAGATTAAAGAAGGGAGAGGTCAAGTGAGTGATGATCTTGCTCGCTCACAGAACATCAGCTAACCCATGTTACAGCCTCGGAACCTCAATGTAAGCTACCCCTCCGATCGCCCCTCCCCTCCATCGCCCTTCTGACATCCCGCGATAGTATGGCAGTCACCTTCAAGGACGGTGTTATTCTCGGTACGTCATATCTATGCAAATGTTTCTGTTGCCGCCCATCTGCGTGCGACGGCAATAATAGACCTCTCGAGACTCTCTTGGAGGGGCAAACAGACGAGGACGACAACTGACGACGAGCGTTCTCACTCTCTAGGTGCTGATTCCCGGACAACAACGGGCGCGTACATTGCCAACCGAGTCACCGACAAGCTCACACAAGTCCACGACACCATCTGGTGCTGCCGGTCAGGCTCCGCCGCCGACACCCAGGCCGTCGCCGATATTGTCCAGTACCAGCTCGGCCTTTACGCCATGCGCAACGGAAAGCCACCCATGACCCAAACTGCCGCCGCCATCTTCCAGGAGGTCTGCTACGCCAACAAGGACCGCTTGACGTGAGTCCTCCCCTCTCCTCTCCTCTCTCTGCTTCTCCGAACCTTTCGCACCAAGACATAGGGACACCTGCTGACCCGTCACGATATTACAGTGCCGGTCTCATCATTGCCGGCTGGGACGAGCGACACGGCGGCCAGGTCTACTCCATCCCCCTCGGCGGATCCCTACACAAACAGTCATATGCCATCGGCGGCTCGGGTTCGACCTACATCTACGGATACTGCGACGAGCACTGGAAGGAAGGCATGGAGGAGAAGGAAGCCGTCGACTTTGTCAAGGGATCGCTCAAGGAGGCCATCAAGTGGGACGGCAGCTCCGGTGGTGTCATTCGCATGGTCGTCCTAACCGCCAAGGGCGCGGTGCGGCATCTGTACCTCCCCGACGAGGACTACAAGGTGCAGCACTAGCTGGGGAGTCGGTACGGGGAACAGGAGAGAGGCAGAAGAAGGACTTTAATTGTGATATGGCTGGAGGACAGCCATCTGGCCGCTCTTAGCAACACCGGCCGCGCGTGATGGGCACCACGATGTTACACGGGTTGGTTCACCGTGAGCCACGAAAGTGACTCCCGAGTCCCGAAGAGGGAACAGAGCGAGGAACATCCACGCCGGGGCGACATCTTGGGCTTGGCGACAAACGATGAATGTACCATAAATAGATTACCCGCAAGACGAGATTTCTTCACAAGAGAGTTCCATGGGAAATGATTATCCAAGGCAGATTAGAACTGGCTGTGACACGTCGAAAGGTTGCGATAAGGCACGGGGTACTCGTATGGTCAAGATCTCGATTGCGGGCGATGCGCTGCGACGCCACGATGGGGAATACTGGCAAAACCAAAGTCTGGGGGTGTAAGCTATTCGTGTGCGTCTCGGTCTCTAAGATGAGACGCTGCCGGCACGCGAGCGCTGCCATCCGTATGCACGATGCAGGGAGGACGGCACAGTCACTCTCGATTAAGGGGTGTCGTGGTGTCGGATTCGGAGGCGGTGAGAATGGGGGAAGGGTTTTTAGCGCGGCACAGTTCTGCGGGAGGTGAGGACTGAGGAGCGGGAACAAATCAGCGGCGGATGCGGGGAGGACGGGGCGGGAGGACGGGGCGCCCTCCCCTTGGATTCTAGTTGGAGGACTTGGGATGCGATGCCGCCGTGTAGCATGCAGGTGAAGCTGCAAGGCTAAAGACGAGTTGCCCATCCGAGGCGCCGTCGACGGGACGCTGTGTTGTATGAGTTGAACATGGATTCCCAGAACCTCGACCCTGATAGAGACTTTGACGAAGACAAGATAGAGCAGAAGCCAGGTCATCCATTTTACAATCCGTTGTGCGAGTGCATGACTAAGTTGGAGAGTGATGACGAAAGAGTGATCAAGGTCGTTGGCCGTCGGTGACGGTTTAGGAAAGGCCATGGAAGGGCGGTGGATAGTAACGTGGGACGGGGGGCTGTCGGGCAGCGGATGTGCCACGATGGCTCTGGTATCAGGCGATTGCGCGACATGGCTGGCTCCGCTGTGATTTGCGTCGGATTGCGTGAAGGCCTAATTATCGTAGATTAGATAGGGGAATTTATTAAAAGTTCCCAAGATCCCAAGACCTCGTGCCGGAGGGAACGCCGGGTATTGGCCGGGAGTCTCTATCCGTGCAGGCCCGGGCGCTTTTAAGACGGGGGAAAGGGGGGCCCGGCCAGCCAACATGGGGTTTGGTGGTGCTGGGGAACGGCTGGGCGTGGGATGGATGATGGTGAAAGCTTGTTTTTGTGTTGCCCATACTATCCGTAGGCGGGTTGGCAATGTTGGCAGCGCCGTTGAATCGTAATGGATTAATGAGTTGTCAGCGCGAGGTGGGATAACGACAGCTATGGTGGTCGCATCTTAGGGCCAAAGCAGCTGGGTGTTTGTAATTGCCAGCTGAAGGTAAGCAGCGGACAACCCTTTTGTTCGAATGCAATGAGCCGGCTGACGTTTAATTCGTCCCATCTGCTGTTAGTAAACATTCAGCCGGGGTTGACAGGTATATCGCGTTGGACGGGCACGACGGCACGGCGGGTACCTGATGGGCAGCCAGGAACGCCAGACGGGCTGTTTCTATTTTCTGAGCTCCGAAATGACCGATCGTCCAAGTCTCCGTGGTTTCCGTGCCTTTCTTTTGGAGAGCTTTCTCAAGCAGCTCTATAGCAGGGGAAGAAAAAAGGAGAGAGCGTGGCTGGCTGTGGAGTCAATGTTGCTTGATCTGAACGGAAGTGAAGTCCAGATTGGGCCGGAGACTGGGCAAGGGGTACTATAGTAGAATTTCAGAGGGTCTCTGCGAATTCGCCGTACGTAAGGAAAAATATGCGAAGCTTGTCGATGTTTCCTCCGAGATCCATTGTGTGCCATGGCGAATGATGCACGCTACATGTAGCAACTGGTTTTTGGTGGAGCATGGCATTACGGCAGGCAATTGGCGATTGGAAATACGATGCGAATGGAAAGGCCGTGAATGACAGAGCAGACGCCAGAAAGGGAGGTGGCCGGGCAGGGCTGCGCTGGCGGGCGGAGAGGAGGGGAGGAACGGGGAGGCAGACGGGCAGGTGAAGGAGGGTACTTTCCTCGTCTTATCCGACCCGATAAGGCCTTGGAGAGGCCGAGATGTCAAGGGTCAAGGGTCAAGGGGCGCACATGCCCGGGATGTCGAAAAGTCGAGGTTCCCCTGCCGAGCTCGTGTGGCCCCTGCTCGTCAAATCTCTTATCAGCGGTGTCGCGTATCATAACGACCAATGAGAGGACGGCTTGAGTACACCCTCTCCTCCCGAGGATGCGGATGGGTCGTATGCCTTCCGCGCGTGTCAATCCCAGTGGTCCTGTCGTGTTGGCAAGCGCCCTCTCCGTCTACGGATACATACATTGTAGTACGGTATTTTGCGTTTTTCTATGCATATGCTCCGACTCGGTTTTTGCTTCGACGTGCTGCGAGCTGTCAGCCTCCGTCGAGGCGAAGCGACAGCACGTTCGGTCGCTGGTTGGGAAAGCAGGCTTCAACGTGGAAGGTCTGAGGTATGAAGTTCACTTTGTTGGGCAGCCGTCCATTGGGAGCTCGGAAACAGCAAGGCGCGGGGCTCGCGAGGGTCCATGTCGAATTGAAGCCCCAACCTCCAGGACCTCAGCGCGCAAAGTGGGAGAGTCGAGGGTCAGCCTGACTGGTGAGAAATGGCGAGAGCAGGATCGCAATGAGGCTGTGCTGGGGTTCGGTTGGGCCCGCCGACTAGGAACTGGGACTTTCCGACTTGCAACGATGGCTTGGGCAGATTCGGGGCGTTGGGGAGGAAGGACCCTTGAATTTCTTGGTTTACGGGTGTTGCTGTTGCGAGAGCTGTGAATGGCTGCTCGCAAGTGGTGGCTACCTAAGCTAGCGCGGGCTTCTGTCATGTCATGTTTCGGGTGGCTCCTCGTCTGTTCTGCCATGCCGCCACACGAGATGCAGTGAGACACTGTGAACATCACCAAGATGTTGAATGAGTCGGAGTCCAGGGCGATGGGAAATGAGTGAACAGATCAATAGGAGATTATGAGAGAAGAGAGATGAGAATCAAGTTGGCAGAGACTTGCTCACTGAATCCCACGCTGAGTGGCTGAATATTGGGGCGAATCTTACAGATGATGAATGAAAACGCAGCCCGCGGGTATCCAAGACACAAGGGGAACCACGGCCGTGGCATCGCGACTGAGCGTGCATGCTGCAATGGGCAGAAGGTTGAACCCGTTAGCCACCATGACAAGCGACAAGCGGCAAACGGCTTGGATTCTGGAGTCGCGCATCTGTGCAATGTGCCGTCATTCGGGGAAGCTGCTGCACATCAACAGGCGACGCAAGGCACTCATCCAGTCATCCATGAAGGGTACTTTACCCAGCTGAGCCTTTTGGCGGCCATCTTTTTGCCATCTACCTCATCCGGTTCCACCAGACCGCCAATCTCATCCAGGGCCCCCCTCTGAACATGCTCTCACTCAGAGCGATCCTCTCATCAGGTGAGGTGAGAGACCTGCGCCTGTTTGACGCCTGTTCTCGTCCAACTTGAGTGAGCAATCAACGAAACAACACAATCAACCAAAGACCGTCGATGACCTGATTCTATAAACTACCTTGGGGTATATACTCATACCAGCAACGAGTGCAGGAATCATCTCATGCAGCAGCAACAGCAGTAACGGCAGCAACAGCATCCACTCTACCTTGGTAGCCCGGGTTCCAGGCCCAGTCCATCGACCGGTGCGCTCCAGTGCTCTCCACCGGCTCCCCTCCAAGCTATGCGCAAGGTAAGGTACCTAGCACCCTAGATGCTTTGTAAGGTACCGCTGCTCGCTGCTGTTTCCTGCCTTCCCCTCCATCCAGGACCTGAGGACAACCCACCTGCCACCCGCCGCCGCCCAATCCTCCCGCCGTCCTTCTTTTCCCATTCCCCATCTGCTGTCTGCCACACCCGCGCCTTGCTCTCTCGATCCATCCCTCATCCACCATCCATCCATTCGTCGTCCATCCACCCGCCCTCCTCCGCCTCTTTTTCTCTGTCCTCCTCCTCCCCCCTCCCCCCAGCCTACTTTTCTGATCTGGCCCTGTCTTGTCCTCCTCCTCTACCCTAGACTGGACATTTTCTACAAGGGGGGCTTCTTTCGTCGACCTCTTCTTCCTTTGATCTCGCCGCCCTCCCCTACGGTACCTTTTTTGTTCTTGGAACTCGACATCGCAGACGTTCTGCGAAACAGAACAGAAACAGATTCTCAAGTCGCCCCGTCGGACGAGCCCTCTGACCGCCATCTTCCTTCCCCCCTCCTCTTCCTCCTCCTACTCCTCCTCCTCCTCCCACCAACAGTTCGCCGTCGCTGCCTCCTTCGACATTCCGCTACCGTCCTTGTTTGGCCCAACGCGTTAGTTGTGTGCCTATTGCTCCTCTCGCCCGACCTAACTGGGCCCGACCTACGACGTGTTCGCGCTCGACACCTTGGTGTTTGTTGCCATCGCCGACGAGTAATTCTTACGACCACGACACCGAGACACCCTCGCCGCTCCATCGCGTCGAGCCTTCCGTGTTCTACTCCTACACTTAGTCTCTAGACCCGTCCTCCCACCTCTTCGTTGGACAACTTAGGTGAGCTTGTTCTTCTTTCCTTTGCCTGTGCTGGTTCGCTGTCTTCCTTCCCGTCCCTTCTCCTACCACATGCAACTCTTTACTTGCTTCGTCCTGGCAATAAGAAACGCACCTGTGACGTCGTTCGTGCCCGCGCCCTATGTCCAACGCTGCCATCAGCTCCTTCCCCGAGGCTGCGCTCTGGATCGGGTCGCCGAGCTACAGTCTCGACGTGCTTGCCTGCCTCGTCGTACTTGGCTTGCGGATTCTGGTTGTTCATCTATTGTCGGGCTGCTCTTCCCGTCACATTCACATTTGCATGTGCAATCCCTCAGCCTTGCCAGCCCAACCCCCACTGCTGTGCACAAATGCCTTTTCTACTTTCCTACAACCACGGCCTTGGCTTCACGTCACTGCCCTCGTATAAGCTACCTCTCAAGCCAGCCTGAGATTCGACTCCACGGGATTGGACGGCACTCGGTCTCGCAGTTGGGATTCATGGACGCCAATGTGACTACGCAGCAACAGAACTCCCCTCTCCTCCTTTCCCCGAATCTTCTTTCCCTATTGCACCTACACATAACTCGCGACATGCGACTTTGACTCTATGCTAACCATTCTTTGTCTTTGCAGTTGCCTGCTCCAACCATCCTAATTGTAATTCGGCCTTGCTGGAATAATACGATGCTATGGCAGCTGTAATCGGTGACTACGTCTCTGATCCCTCCCGTTTCCATAACATGATTGCCACCCCAGGCATTCAGCACCAACACTCGCACGATTCCCATTATCGATCCTCGAGTCGGTCAAGAGACGTTCCTACCCACCACACCTCCACGAGCCCGAGATACCATCCCTCTACGAGTACTCCGCCTACCCGTCAAAGGCACTCTGAACAAGACTCGGCCGAGAAGCACGCGCCGCCTAGCGGAGGTGCATCTCGCTTCCCCTCGCCTCCATCATCTTCGTCGCCAACAGGTGCTAGGCCTCAGCATGCTGATAGCCCCGCATACATGGCAACCGATTCTCGCGACGCCGGCAATGCTGGTTCCGTAGTCGCCTCCGAACAGGCTCACCCCTCCCCTAGTCAGGAGCAACATCAGCAGCAGCCTTCGCCCGCGTCCGATGTCAACGGTATTGCCGGCGTCACGACCTCATACCCCCTCTCTGACAACTCATCCCCCGTGCAGCAACCGCAGGGCCAGACGATCCATATCCGCGATTTGGCTCATATCCAGAGTCTCGCCAAGGCCGACCTATTGTCAGGTAACGGACCCGGGATATTGAATGATCCGCCACTGCAGGCTATGAAGTACGAGATTAGTGCCATGCCTATCGGCGACATTATCGAGATGGTCGCTGCTCTTCTCACCAAGATCACCACCACCAACGACCTACAGCATGACGCTATGCAGCGCAACGTTGCGCATCAGCAGCAGGCAAGCCAGAATAACGAGTCAGGCAACGGCACGCAAATGAGCCCGTTGAGCACGTCTGTGCTTGCTTTTCATGGCAAGAACATCCCTGCCATCACAATTCTGAGCTACTTGTCCCGCATTCACAAGTACTGCCCGACCACCTACGAGGTGTTTTTAAGTTTACTAGTCTACTTTGATCGCATGACGGAGCGAGTCAACGAAATGGTGGTCAAGCACGAGGAGGCGCGGAGGGTTTCTACTTCGCTGCCAACTCCAAGGGCACCGCCGGCCGATGTCGAAATGCGTGACGAAGACGACGAAACAGACTCGGATCTTGCCGACGACGATGATTCGGACGAACAGAATACAAAGGCGAGCGAGAGTACCGGTAGCATCATACCTCTGACAACGCCTCAAAGCGCACCACCGGCGACGTACTTTGTTGTCGACAGCTTTAATATCCACCGCCTAGTTATCGCAGGCGTGACTTGCGCCAGCAAGTTTTTCTCTGATGTCTTCTACACCAACTCTAGATACGCCAAGGTTTGTTCACCCACGACTGTGACTGAAACTTTTTTCTGGTGCTGATTCTCTTTTTTTTTTCCAGGTCGGTGGACTTCCGTTAGCCGAACTCAACCATCTCGAGCTGCAGTTTCTCCTGTTGAACGACTTCCGACTGGCGGTTCCCGTCGAAGACCTCGAGGCATATGCAACTATGTTGGTCGAGTTCTACGCACGGGAAGTGGTGGCACAGCGACCACGTCCTACTACTGTTGGCGCTGGCGATTCCTAAGCAAGTGTTGCAACATTATGAGATTGATACCCTTAGCTACGCCGATTTGGGGTTGAAGTAGTCTGCTGTTGCTTGCTGGTAACATTGATACTAGCATCGCCTCCGAGCAGCATCGACTTGTATATTTGAGGCCTGTTGGCAACTCAGAGCTTGAGAGGGATGTTGGACATCTACCTAACGGATTGGGCTCGGGAGGCTGGAAGCTGATGACAGTTCTCCGTCAGACGGCGCGCGCGGTTTTCTTCTTGGGCGTACTCGGTACAATGTCGAACGGCCATTGGACTGACGGTGAATGAGAATCGGCAAGCTTTTCCTTGATATACCCGGATAGATCGGGTTTGTGATGGAGTTTTCGAGGGCGGTATTCTGTTGTGACTTTTGGCGGAGCTCATGTGAAGGCGACTTCATCCATACGTTGATCTTATTACGAGTGTGGGTTTCGCGCGCGAGTTGCAAACGGGCAACCAGACAGGCGAGAGAAGGAGGAGAATCCTTTGATGCGGGGGGCTGGACTAGGCTACACTACACGCTACGTCACGTTCTAGACTTTGCGCGGGCATATTTGCGACAAGGCGTTTGGTGTTCCGAGACTGACATAGATGGCAAGCATAATGAAATGTCCTGAGTACGAGAGATTGAATTTGAAGCCGGCCTAAGTGCCGTCGATAATTCGGTCGTGATGAGCATGTGATGTTCGAGGTGACTCGGTCTGGTTCAAGACCCACGATGGAGTTGAAGTTGAGGCTGGCAAATGGTAACCTCACCGCTCATCCGTGGCCTTTCTCAGCTAGTCAGAAGGAGGGTATGGCTGGGAGTATACCAGCTGCTGCCTTCACGTTTTTAGTTCAAGCCGCCTTAGGAAAGAGATGGAGGATAATGCCCTCCACCACCAACCTTCTCGTCGGGCTGAGAAAGGTCGAATGGCATATTTCCATGAGCAATACCAGGGTTGTAGATGATGGCGAGATAGGGTGCTTTGTTTGGAGGCGGGGTGTGCCCTATGCGCTGTCTGCAGTGCTGGGACGTTTTGTGCTGGGCAACCTAAGAAGTACATGACCAGGCTTCTGCCAAAGCAATGAAATAGGATAGCTAATGAGGGAGCTTACTTTGCAAGATGGCTATGCACTGAGATTGGCTATGGGCCTATTCGAACGAGCTGAGGTAAAATTGCGGTGCCCATAACTTGGCGTCTTCAGAGAATTATTGAAATACCAACGGCTTGGGGTAGGTTAAAATTGCAGTGCACACCTGGTAGGGCTGCATGCGAGCAACCTCTACCGCGTCTGCATCAGTGCATTGGATGGCATCATCCTCGGCGGAATATGCGGATTGAATTTTTCAGAGCCTTGTCAGCCCAAGATCTAGTCAATGCCAGCCTCAAGATTCGTTTCCATATTGGTCTCCCACTGTCAGTATCGGCAGCGAAACCAACCCCATCCATCCTCCTCTACTTTTCCTCCGTCACTTCCGGCTTGAGGCAGACAACCTCCACATTATTCCCAGAAGGATCAAAAACAAACGCGCCATAGTAGTCGGGGCGATACTGTGGCCGCAGACCAGGGGCACCGTTATCCTTGCCGCCCGCCGCGAGAGCAGCCTTGTGGAACTCGTCAATTACTTTGCGGTCTGTTTTGGGGTTTTGCGTTAGCCAAGTTCATCAGATTTGGAAAACCTCCGGATGAGGGACTCACTATCCGCCTTGAAGGCAATGTGGAGTGGGATATTCGCCTTGTCGGCCTTGTGGCCCGCGATCCAAAAGTCGGGTCGTTGGACGCCGAGACCGCAGGTGTACTCGTTTGGCTCGACAAACTTCTTGAAGCCGATTGGGGCCAGGGCGGCGACGTACCAGGCCACCGTCGCCTTGTAGATGGAGGCGGGGACGTAAAGGCCGATGTGGTCAATAGACATGATGGAAGAGGGTATGGAAATGTTGAAATATGTAAGTGAGGGTCTTGGAGAGACACAGTAGTCAAGTCTAGAAATTGGGTTTGGATTGTGAAGCTATAATGAAGGGGAGGAGGTTAGAACGAGGGGAGGAGGTTGGCGGGGTTTTTGGTAGACAACGGCGTTGCTCTACACGTATCACGCGGGTTAGTTGACAGCGATTGGAAAGTTCCGTCCAAGATGGGAAGCGCGAAGGAGGTGCGAGTACACGTGCAAGCCAACCGCGGGGTCGGGTATCACGGCAAGCGGCCGCCGGGTTTCCAAGGGCCCAGAGTAAGGCAGTAAGTTGCATTACGTAGAGCCGTGCCGGTCTGACTCACATGGGGGGGCCCCTAAACAGAATGCACTGAAATATGTGCTATTCCTGACCTTTCATGCCATGTCTGTCAGCAACGTTGCTTGTTCAGGATGGACTTTTTGATGCTGGGATGCTACCTTATTCCACCACGGCTGCACGGGCAATCCCGCCCGGAGCTATCGGCGGGGTTTCGATCGGAGAGAGCGCCAAGTGGGGCCGCCGAGGCAGCAGCTGCGCCGGGTGACGTTGTTCCCTGCATTGTGGATCGTGCGTGGGAGATAAGCTTTGGCGAATCGCAGTCCGATTAGAGGTCAACGGTGAGGTTTCACGGTTGCCAAAGGTACTGCAATCTTGGTATCTTGGTGTGAACCAAAAGCCTGATGGAGGGGCTTTGGGTACATCCTGTTCCACCCCGCGGCTGGTGTCACTCTCACCGCCCCTAGGTCTGCTTTGCGAGTCCGCCGGCCGGTCTTCGGTGTCTGTGAGGATCATTCATCCGGCCCGGACTGGGGAAAAAATTCGTCTCGAATACACGTCGCCTGTCATGGACTGGTAAATCTTGGTTTAAATTTTACTACAATGGTGGTACATGGTACTTTATGCTTGCTTGCTACTTTACACAGTCATCTACCTGCTCTCAAATTTTGGCCAGAATGCTGCTGTTAATACGGAACCTGACCAACGCGACAAGACCAGCTGCCGCCAATGACATTGATCCAGCGTAGAACATGGCCGGGCGGTATGCTTGGAGACCGCCCTCGGCGCCGCCGTAGGCTTCTAGGAGATACCCAGCAATTGGCGAGCCCTGTTTTGACCTAATCAGCTTATGATGCTCCCAGAATCTTTATGTCTACATCGCGCGACTCACCATAAGGTAGCCACCAGCCCAGCCAGTCACAATCATACTCATCGCAACCGAGACCCTCGCAGACCCAAAAGTGTTACCGACTACCGTGGGCATAGTTGAGAAGAACCCGCCGTTGGAGACGCCGTTGATGATGACAAAGGCAACCATGGGCCCGAGCGATGTCGAGACGGGCCAGATGGCCAGGATGCTGACTGCGGATAGGAACAGCGAGACGGAGAGGACATTGAGGGCGCCGAACGTGTCGCAGAAGGCGCCGCAGCAGATGCGTCCGACGGCCGAGGAGAAGTTGAAGCCCGCTACCAGGCCGGCGCCGGTGGAGGAGGAGAGGCCAATGGATTTGGAGTAGAGTGGCAGGAAGAAGGGCGGGACGAAGAGTGGAAACGTCCCCACTGCGCCAGCCAAGAAGACCAAGACGAACGTTAGGGACTTGAAGAGGCGCCTACAGAATAAAAGTTTAAATCGCTGCTGTACTTTTTTTTGGAATGAAGGTACGGCGGTGGGGGGGGGGAAGTCCTACCACTCGACGAAGCCGGAACTACGGACGGGAACGCGCTCTTTAATTAGCCATGCTGCCGGGAGTCCCGTGGCCAGGGTGACGAGGGCGAGGACGCGGTAGGCCCAGGCGGAGCCGAGATGGTTGAGGAGGGCGTCGAGGGCGAAGCTGTTGACGGCGCCGCCGAGACCACCACCGGCGAAGACGATACCGTTGGCCAGACCGCGCTTGCGGCTAAAATACTGTGCTGGAACTACAGAGACGATCTGTGTGTAGGCTTGTCAGCAGGGCCTTCTCAAAGCTTTTGGCTTAGGTATTGATAAGTGCCGCTTACCGTAAAACATAAACTTTGCCCGTCGTTAGCACAAACAATCACAAACGAGCTCAGCGGAACGGGGCGACTTACCTCATGCCCAACCCCATAATGACACCACTCGTCGCAAACATGGCCCCCACGTTCTTCACGGCAAAACTACTGAGCAACTCACTGATGCCCAGCAGCGAGATCCCCAACAACCCCGTTCTCCGCGGCCCGATGCGCCTCATGACGCGCGAGTTGACAATGGCGAGCGCCGAGATGAGCGCCGCGGCGAGCGAGCCGACAAAGGAGAGCACGGCGGGGGTGCTGAGACCGTCTTCGATGAGGGCGCCCTGGATCACGCCCCATGAGTACGAGGTGCCAATAATCCACCACGCGACCACGAAGCAGCCGCCCACAACGACCCAACCGTAGCCGCCTTCTGGGACGGTGGAGTCGGCCTCACGGGAAGCTCGGAGGATTGGGTCGGTGCTGTCGTCGGGCTGCTGGGAGGTCAATGTGAACGGTGAGGGTTTTTGGGTGCTTGTGGCGGGGAGGGGATGGAGTTCGATGCCGGAGGTGGAGGCTGAGGCCGAGGCCGTTGTTGTGGATGTCGACATGATGACGAGTGATTGGCTCGAATTGAGCTTTCCGGTAGTCAACGCGAGGGAGCTATATCAGGATGCAGCAGCGTTCCTTTTCGTAACGAGATCACATGTTGGGTCAAAATGAATCGTCGCCAAAGGCAAAAGGCGAGGTCGGCGTTGACAAAGTCTATCCGCCCCACTGGTGCCCAGCGCGCCCTTCCGCTGACAAGCTCCGTAAAGCACTAATTAGTTTCCGGCTGGGCGGGGGTACCGGACGCCGAGTTTTTGACCGTGGGCCCGCCGTGGTCCGATGACTTGGGGTTCCCGCTTTCCGGGACGCCGGGCATTCCCACAGCCGGGGGTCAATTGACGAGCCAAGATGTCGTTAGTATTCAAGGCTGCACTAGTGTCGTGATGGATGCATGCAGCTTTGAACATGTGCTCTCCTGTGGAGACATCTACTGATTCGATGCCGAGTTTTATAGAGCCCCGTCCAAACAGCTGAGATGTAGGCCTTTCTCACTCGGAAACGCTAGAGGGAAATATGAATCAGTGTCTTGACAGTACCGGACGCCATCGGCACCCAGAACCCACCACGGAAAAGACACAAGAGCTTGTCCATGATACAGCGGATCGCCAACCTGCGGGGAGAGACGGTGACGGCAGGGTTCTTCGGGTTCGTCACCAATTAAAGTTAAATGACGTTGCATCAGCCCAAAAAATAGCCCCATTCCGCTCGGAATCCGGCTAGGGAGGGCTCGGAGGATCCCTGCCAGGACAGGAGCGGGAGCTAGGAAACTGTGACTGCCCGGTCACTCTGATGTGTAGGTTGCAAATGGTGTTGTCGTGATTGTCGTAGATATATCATGCTTGCGCTTGCTTGTGATTCCGAAGTCTTTTCGATAGAATGGTGTTTGCTCAGGCAGATGAGGGCGGTCCTGATCCAGTGTTGTCCATGGATCGTTACCTCAGAGAAGGTAGATATCAGTGATGGATGTCAGAACTCACTCACACCAAGGCAGTATGGGTTCCAATATGCATTCAAGGGGCGACGAAAGAGTGAAACATGACGCATGTTAGGAGAGATGTTACCTTAGTACTTTAGATTCCAGACCCGGATGAGATGGGATGACGGAACCTTATGCCAGTGGCAGCACGCGGCTCGCTATTGGACATCAGCTCATGTTGAGCGTCTCAACCTGGGAATGAATTAAGCGAATGCTTATTGGATTGAATTTGGGCATGGGTATTTTGAGGTGCCATGCGGTTTGTGACGGAAGCGAGATTGGGCGGGAGGTACGGAGTACTCTGTACGGAGTAAGGAAGGAGGGATACAGGAAACGGAATAGGTACGGGTATGCTAAACCGAGCAAGTCCCATCCCGTCTTGGCATTCGGCAGGCGCGCTTGCGCGACAATGTCAAGTCACGATGCTTTGCTGCAAGAACCCAGGACGCGAAAGAGGGGGTTTACGAAGTAAGGTAAGCTACGGTACTTAAGGTACATCGTAAGCTATCTTCGCCAAGTGAGACGGTCTGTGACGGATCGAAAACCACGAGATTCTTGGCTCATCGACTGCTTCAATCAGCAACTTGCAAGGGCAAGAAGGGGCACGACGCAAGGGAAGGTACGAAGTACTCCGTCCTCTATGTTTCTGAAGAGTGGAAGGTGCAAAGTGCGGAAGTTGCTGCCGGTGACTCTTGGCAGCTGGAAAAAGGCGTGTTAGTCAGCAAGAAGTCGTCGTAATGCTTTCCCAAATTTTCCTCAAGATGTGGATCCCCTCGGACCATCCTCCTCCTCTATTGTCCCAGTCACCACGCCCGCCTTGCCCGCGTCTCCGCTGGCCTCGTCTTTCCTCTTCCCGCCCCAAGACCCCCAAGACCAACAAACCCCCGACGCCCCAAGACCCAAGACTTTCTTGTTCCCCCCATCCCCCATCCCCATCCCCCCCAAGGATCCAAGACTTGCAACGTCCCGCCGCGCGTCTGGTCTATTGCTCGTTCTCGTCTTAATCTTGTCGGCCCCGGATTCAGACTCACTTTAACTCAATCTACCGTCTAATCTCACTCTATCTGAGATTGGGTAGTCTCCGTTACCTACCTTACCCAACAGTCTGTCAGATTTCCCATTCCCCGGTCCGAACCTTACTTTGCGCGCCTCGCCCCTCCTGGAACTATGCCTTGACTTTGAACAAATATGGCCGTCTCTTTTCAGCAATCTAGGGTTCTCATCCTCGATGGTGGTCTCGGCACCTCTTTGGAAGACAAGTACGGCATCAAGTTCGACTCAGCCATCACGCCTCTCTGGTCTACTCACCTGCTCGTCGATGGTCAGGACACCCTTCTCGCCTGCCAGAAAGACTTTGGAGATGTGCCCGTCGACATCATTCTCACTGCTACGTACCAGCTGTCCATCCATGGATTTGCCAACACGCGCACTGCCCAGTTCCCCAACGGCATCAACAAAGCCGCCATTGGCAACTTTATTCAAAACGCCCTTCGCATCGCCGATGAGGCAGGACGCTCGCATGGAAGCAAGACGGCTCTAAGCATAGGTCCCTATGGAGCTTGCATGATCCCTGGCCAAGAGTACAGCGGCGCTTATGACGCCGAGCACGATTCCCTCGAGAAGCTGCGCGACTGGCATGCCGAGCGGTTGCAACTCTTCCAAAACGCTGGTGCTTTCTCGCCCCCCGTCAGCTACGTCGCCATTGAGACTATCCCCCGCACCGATGAGATCAAGGCCGTGAGGCAGGCTCTGGACAAGACCCGGGTCTTGGCGGCCTCCGAGACTCCCATTCCTTTCTGGATCGCATCCTTGTTCCCGAGAGAGGACTCTCTGCTGCCGGATAGATCTTCTATCAAGGAGGCTGTGACGGCCATGCTCAGCCGCGACGTTGCGGCAAGCCGTCCCTGGGGAATCGGCATCAATTGCACCAAGGTCTGGAAGTTGGAGTCTCTGATCCAGAGCTACGAATCGGCTGTCAAAGAACTCATCCAGGAGAGTGCCGTTGACGCCGCTCCGGCTCTAATTGTCTACCCGGATGGCACCAACGGTGAAGTTTACAACACGACGACTCAGAAATGGGAGCTTCCTGAAGGATCACAACACCCTACCACGTCATGGGAAGCCCAACTCTCTCAAGTAGTTGCTAACGCCGAATCTCGAGGATTCTGGAAACAGATTGTTGTGGGTGGATGCTGCAGAGCAAGCCACGCTGATATTGCTCGGCTGCGAACTGCAGTAGAAGGCCTTTCTCGGTAGAAAAAAGGATGAACATTTCTAGATCGGCTTCCGGCTCCGGCTCCGGCCTCGGCCTTTCGACACCGTGTCGAACTCCTCCCAAGTCTCCACAGATCGACCACCGCCGGTCTGGTTGTACCATGCACCATGCTCCAAAGCCCCAAAAAAAAAAACCGTTTTCTTCCAAAAGGAAGCCCTCTATCCGGTGGTATCGCTGCCCAATGCAAAAGAGGGAGTTCCCCCTCTAGTGGCCGGTACGGCCAAAGCAAAGAAAAAAGGAAAAGGCATTTCATGTCATCATTCCAAGGTCTCTTTTTCCCTCATTTCTTCCAACCTTGTCTCGCTGTTGTCGCTTGGGTTTTCCAGTCGTCGAAGCGCTTCTGTCTCTTTTGCTGTTCTTTCTCGTTCCAGGCGGCGATCGGCTGGATGGGCAGCCTGGCGAGCATCTCGTCCAGATCGAAATGGCGTCTTAGCTCGCCGTTGACGCGGATCTGGATGGTCCCGATGCCTTCATAAAGGGTGGCGCCGAAGTCGGCCCAATCGCGGTACATGGAAAGGAGACCGCCAATTTGGCAGCACATGAAGAAAGCCAGCTTCTCGGCCGGAATGAGGTTCTCCTTGCCTTGTGGCGGGCAGGGCCAAGTAATCCCTCTGCTCTCTCGCTTTTCGGGGTCCATGACCATGGTGGTGAATCTTTCAAACATGTCATGAGCGGGTGGCCGCGGTGCGCCGCCGGAGACGAGCCGGTCGTGCTTCTGGCCGGGCGGCGGTGGCAGAACGTCGAGCACGAGGTTCTGGATGGTGAATTTTGCCGGGTCGGCGACAACACTACCGAAAGCTGTCGGACCGTACTGCAGGTAACCGGACAACATGGCGTAGAAATTCCATACGATGAAGGGCGGACCGCCGCTACCGCCTCGAAACTGCTCCTCGTTCTTCCAGTCCGGATTGACGTCGGAGGGGGGGTCGAAGATTCGAAATTGGACTCGGACGCTGTCGGCATGGCGGGTCGCTCTTGGCACCGCGAGCCAAGTCGGCCACAAGCCACATTCCTTGACATACATTACATCGAGACGGCAATGCGTTCCCCTTGTCGCAAGCAGCGCCTTGGCTTCGGCGTGCAATTGTCGATTGACAAGAAAAAGGTTGGTGTTGGGGGAGCCGGAGGGCGGGGAGCGAACGTCCTTCTCAACCCAAATGTCGTGGCCATCGAAAAAACCTTTGCCCTTGTACTCGCGTCTCTTGCGGTCCTGGCTGACTGAGGGATTAAGAGGCGGCTGGCGGTCGGGGAGAAATATTATTTCGTCGAGGATCAAATCTCGAATTTCCCGCGGGATGCTGAGCAAACCGATGGCCATGTTTGCTGGTGCTGGTGCGATTTGAAGTTTGCTGCACAAACGCAACCGCACAGCTGGAGAGAGACACTGGGGTGAGAGTGTCGCACAGAGAGGGGGTGGGTAGGGCGGCCGGGACTGGTAGGACTAATGGTCGAATCCGACGGGGTCGGGTGGCAACGGCGGGCAGGAGAGCAGGAGCAGGAGCAGGAGCAGGACTGGCTGCTAAGGTACGGTGACCACCCTGACTGACCTACTGACTACCTGCAGCAGCGCAGCCAAAAAAGAGTCGGTTGAATCGTGGAGGGCGAAAATTTACTCAAAAAAGCACCACAGAAAGTCGGGGTTCGAGGTCGAGTGAGGCGCAGCACGCAGCTCGCAGCAACAGCGGAGTCGGCCCTTTGACCAACGACGTCATTCGACAGTGTAAAGGCGGGCCAAGGAGAGGAGGAGAAGAATTCGAATGTAGACCGAGGGCAGAAAGTAAGATACCGAATCACCAAGGACGCAACAGGGCCGGGTGAAGACAAAGACGAGAGTAAAAATAATGGGGAATTTTCGGACGCAGACGACGGGAGACGGGCGACGGGAGGATGGAGGATGAATGGGGTGGGTTGGCGAGTGTTCTATGTGTGTGTGTCTGCACGAGAGGCCATTTACCATTTCCCAGGAATCATCTGGGAGGGGGATCGGATAAATGGGTGCCATGCGCAGTAAGTAACAGCGCCACCGACAGTGAGCCTGGGGAATTTTTCTTCCTGGTTTTTATTTTGAGTTTTTGGCACTGCTTCTTTCGCGTTGAAAAGTCGATGGCGAAGAGGGCGAGGTTGCGTATGCGCGGGTGCGTGTGCATGTGGGTGCTGCTGGCTGCGAGCTGCTGGCTGGTACTGGTGCTGGTGCCGGTGCTGGTGCTGGTGCTGGTGCTTGATTCAGCTTGGGTTCTTTTGCTCTTTGGACCAGCTGTATCCGTAAGGTAGGTCAGGCCAACTCGGTCTGGAGCGAGCCGAGCTGACCATGACTGACTTGTCGAAGGATGCTACGCCCACGGTCATGCCCATGTCCATGCGACGACTGACTCCAAATTACAGAAACTAAGGTAGGTACGAATACCTCGTACAAAGCAGCAAGAGAGAGCATTGACCAACGGGCCAGCCGTAGAGTCTAGAGAGCTGTGGCCCGTGGCGCGGGACAAGAGTCGTCGGCAGGCTCCCCGTTTAGCTCCCCGAGACGAGACAGGAACACTCCTACGTAGACTTTGAAAAGAAATAAAGATAAATTAGAAAAAAATACAAGGAGGACCAGTAGGAGCAGTCATCAAAGGAGACTGAGAGCGCATGCGTGTGGAGCGTGGTGTGGTGCGTGCGGGCGTTTCTGCGGTGTATGGTGGTTGAGTGCAGTGCACTGCCGTACCTTACCTTTTTTACCCCATATCCTCCATTCGAAAGAGAGGGGCACTGGAAGGGGGGAGGGAGGGGGGGACGCATGGGATCCATTACGTTGCTGGTGGGTGCAGAAAGCAGCGGCCGGACTGACTAAGGACAAGACAGAAAGGAGTTGAGGAAAAGACGAAGCAGCGAGTCCAGTCCAGTCCAGCCCGGCCCAATCCAGCCCAGTTTTGCTGTGAAAATGGCCCTGGGAAGTGTAATTCCTTTGACTGTGCCGTGGGGGTTTTTTTTTTTTTTTGGTCCGCGATCTGTCGTACTTGGTGTAACTCTGCCTCAGCGTACCTTACTCCGTACTGACGCATGCTTTGTCCATCTTGGGCGGGTGTTCTACTATGTAGTATCTTCATGTGGCTGGGTTTTCGGGGCATCCTCTCCTGTCCTGTCGGGTCCGTCCCCTCTCACTCACGCGAGCTGGCGGAAGGGGGGAGAGGGGGAGAGGGTTCTCTTGCAGGCCCTGCTGTTCCTCTTGTGCCTGGGCAATAGGTATGCATTCTGATGGGGATACTGTTTGGAGCCGGGATCAGTAGCTGGTGCTGAAGGGGTTTAGTAAGAGGGATTTTGTGTTGTCTGTGTCTGGGGTTTATGGGCATGTGCTCCGTGCATCACCTTTGCCGCTGGTGCTCGTGGAGCAATACAAGGGCCCCGCGGGTCAAACCAACGGGCGCTGATGAAAAGAGGTGAACCGAACCGGGATGGGCCGTGATGAGAGCTCTGGAGGCCGCCTACCCACTGACTGGGTCTACGGTCGACCAGTCTTGAACTTTTTTCGTCTTTTCTACACTACATACGGATACACAGTACAGACAATACCAGTTTTGGAGGGGTGCGCGTGATGAGATCGGCACTAGTCCAGCGGGTCTTTTTTTCTTTCTCTTTTTTGTCTCTCTCTATGGGGTCCTCCTGGGGTCTCCTTGGTTTGAGACTGAGGGAAATTCCGTCGCTGTGGTCAACGTCAAAAAGCCAAATTAACAGCGCAAAAATCCAAAATCAAGCGGGCTAAGAGGGTAGCAAGAATATTGTACCCTTGGTTTCGGCGCCGGCTTGGGGATTGAGAGCAAGCAAGCCTACCTTGGCTTACGGTTGAGTTCTCTCGTCTGCCCAGTGCCCCAGAGTGCGCTGGACCGTTGGTAGGTCGGCACGTAAGCGCGGTGATTTGTATTGACTGGATACCGCGTCGATCGCCGGGCAAAGACCAGATTAGGTGTCTTGAGTGGCCTTTTTGGATCTCGCCTTTGTCTTTTTTGAATTTTTTATTTAAAAAAAAAAAAAATGACCCAGGCAGGCGAGGAGCGCCACGCCGCTTGTGACTAGAGAGAGAGGAATTGATAGATGAACGGCGCAGTGTAAGTACATACGACCAAATGCAATATGTTGTTGCATTCCTGTCTACGTCGATGCTCCGCTCTGCAAATCGCTGTCCCCGGCTTCTGGTAGAAGAAGAACAAATATAGAACGAAACAAAGCAAAATAACAAAGAAGAGGGCGGCACATGGAACTGAGAGCGGGAGCAGGCCGATTACAAGTGGGAGACTAACAGACCGCCAAAGAAGCGGGATGGCTTGTTGACGAAGGGGGAAAAAAGAACCCAAAAAAAAAAAAAAAAGGAAAAAAAGAAAGGGGGGGGGGAAAGGGAGAGGAGGGCGGGCGAATAAAAAGGAAAAAAAAAGACCGAAAAAAAGGGGGGGGGGTGTGGGGAAAAAGGGGAAAAAAAAAAAAAAAAAAAAAAAAAAAAAAAAAAAAAACCGAAAAAAAACCGAAAAAAAAGGCGCACAATAGAGATGGCAAGAGAGAAACAAAAGGATAAAGTAGCTGGCTTCTGAATACTCTCCGATTGGCAAATGACGCGGTGCGGGCTAAGAAGACAAATTGGAAGGGGGGGGTATAAACTAAATTCGGCATGCGCCTCGTCTAGCTCCCCCAGCTTCTGTGTAACGGCAGACAACTTGGAAGTTGGAAGACAGCTGGAGGCAGTCTTGTGCTGCATTGGAATTTGCATGGCAACGTTGAAAGCAGCGACGGGCAGCTAAAGTATCAAGGGCACAGCTGCACGTCTGAGAGACTTGGACGAGAAGACGCAGCCCTCTGGATGTGGGAATCCCGGACGCGGCACCGCTAACTGCTTGCAGCAAACCGAGACCTGGCGTGGCGCCTCTTCTTATTGCAGCGGTCAGTTCCTGAGCCTGTCCAGTCAGTCCCCGTGGTCGTGGTGTTGCTGCTGCTGCTGCTGATGGTACGGATACCG